CCCTCATTGGTTCGATTTCATAATCACGTGAAGGTTACTAATTTTAGATATTGACTTGAAATCACTTTTTTTTAGAAACATATAATGTAACAATTATGGACTTTTACTTCGATAAATAATTAAGTGGTTATATTACCCTGAACATTTCTTTTCTCATGTCTTTACAAAACGTATTCACTAATAGTTCACAATTAAAATTTAGGGGCCTCGGTGGCCAAGTGGTTAAGGCGTCTGACATTCTGCTACCACTAGTCCTCCACCACTGGGGAGCGGGTTGGATATCTACGTGGGGCAGTGGCCTGATACTGGCAGTCGCTCGGCGGTTTTTCTTCCGGAACTCCGACTTTCCTCCACCACCAAACCATAGGGCGTCCTAAAATGACCATAGCTGTACGATAGTCTAGTGGTAGGACGCCGAGCTCGTGACCGAATGGTTGCGGGTTCGAGTCAAGGTACGGCACTATGATGTATCTTTGAGCAAGATACTTTACTCCGCTTGTTCCAGTCTACTCAGCTGTAAATGAGTACGTGGTTGGGCAGAGCTAGAATTGTAGAATGCTAGATGTGAGCGCCGAAATGGCAGCACCGGCTGTATGCTCCCCAGGGAGTTGAGAAAGATGTTGGCTGGTTGCAAAGGCCTTATAACGACGGATAACAATTTGTGAACCGCTTTGAGACGACCTACGAACTAGGTTGTGATAAAGCGGTATATAAGAATCTCGAATTATTACTATTATTGTTAATAGGACGTAAAACACAAGCAAACCAAAATCATAATTGAATAAAGCACACTGAACCCACGACAATCCGCGTAGTGTTACCACGACCACCTTCTGTTATTCAAAATGTTTTAAAGTTCAACAAGCCCCCTAACAGATGGTATGGTCACCCTAAAGTACAACACTCTGAAAAGTCATGCTTAAAGACCCCATTGTTAAATCGGAACTTTCATATATATAATTTGTGCTTTAGTTAATGAAATGGTATATAGAGACGTTAAATTAGTCAAAACAATTAAGGCATTAAGACCGTTCTTAATAAAAACAAAACTAGTTCAACAACATTATAACGTGAAATTTCTTTTGCGACACCATTGAATTCTAGGAAATGACATATTATCTAAAGTTCGTGTGTATACCTTGGTCATGCGGAGCTGATAATCTCTATTTCATTTGTTGACTTGCAGCCATTCCGGAATGATCGTATCCAAACTCTTTATAGCATTTCTTTGAAGTTCGGGATGCTACATTCTGTAAGCATACCAGTCTCAAACTATAGCCGATATAGTAAAGTCCCAAGATATTTTAAGAGAGTGTGATTATATAACAAGAGGCCCAATGGGCCTGCATCGCTCACCTGGTATTAATCTCACACTTGTAATCTTAAAAGTGGACTAAAATACAGCTACAGGCAGAATATTAGTGTGACCTTGAATGACAAACAATGCCATTAGGATGAAAGTGGGTCAAGGTCATTCATTTGAATAAATTTGGTAGCCCTGATTGCTACAGGCCAAATATCAGTACCCTGGGCCTTTTGGTTATTGAGAAGAAGTTGTTTGAAGATTTTAAGACATTTGACACCTGTGACCTTGAAAGTTTGTCAAGGTCATTCATTTGAACAAACTTGGTAGCCCTTCATCCCAGCATGCTACTGGCCAAATATCATCACCCTGGGCATTTTGGTTATTCAGAAGAAGTTGTTAAAAGGTTTTAAACATATTTGACCCCTGTGAACTTGAAAATGGATGAAGGTCATTTATTTGAACAACTTGGTAGCCCTTCATCCCAGCATGCTACTGGCCAAATATCATCACCTTAGACCTCTTTGTTATTCAGAAGAAGTTGTTTAAATGTTTTAAACATATTTAACCCCTGTGACCTTGAATATGAGTCAAGGTCGTGTATTTGAACAAACCTGGTAGCTCTTCAACCCAGCATGTTACTGGACATATCTCATCACCCTAGGCCTCTCGATTATTCAGAAGAAGTTGTTGAAAGGTTTTAAACATATTTGACCCCTGTGACCTTGAATATAAACCAATGTCATTTATTTAAACAAACTTGGTAGCCCTTATGCCAGCATGTTACTGGTCAATTTTAAGCACCCTAGCCCTATTGGTTATTCAGAAGAAGTCGTTTAAAGGTTTTAAACATATTTGACCCCTGAGACCTAGAATATAAGTCAATGTCATGTACTTGAACAAACTTGGTAGCCCTTTATCCCAGCATGTTACAGGCCAAATATCATCACCCTAGGCCTCTTGGTTTTTCAGAAGAAGTTGTTTAAAGAATTTAACATATTTGACCCCTGTGATCTTGAAAATGGATGAAGGTCATTTATTTGAACAAACTTGGTAGCCCTTCATCACAGCATGCTTCTGGCTAAATATCATCACCCTATGCCTTTTGGTTACTGAGAAGAAGTTGTTTAAAGTAAAATGTGGACGACGGACAGACGACAGACGACGGACGACGGACGCCGCACCATGCCATAAGCTCACTTGGCCCTTCGGGCCAGGTGAGCTAAAAACGAAGGTTAGTTGGTCTAGGTTGATAAACTAATTTCTGACGATTTGCAATTGAACAAGACATGCTATACAAAGCTATATAAATGAAAAGTGATATTTTTTATAGCACGTGTACTTCTTTTACAACGTCACTAAATGTAACGAAAGGCCAACTTATATTACGGTCGTTTATTTATCATGGTCACAAGGTCTTTGGTTTAACATCTGTATATCGGTAAAATATAATATCAAAGCTTTTTACTATAATATTTATGGTTTCACGAAGCATGAACTATCTTGATTTGTAGCCAGTATGTCTATACACAGCTTATAAAAGAGAAATTAAGCTCCCCGTTGCCTAGGTATATAAACTTTAGATACCATTTCATAGCATTCAATGTGGTCGTATTATAATGTCAATGAGCTATGAAAACATCAGCCTTAATGTTGTTGTATAACTCACTTCGTAAACGTCGTCATACATAATTTCAGTAAAGTTCTATAAGGTACAATTTCAATATATCCCTAATCAATATCTGAATTCCAATATTTAATTGTGGTTTTTAAGTATGACTATGGCATCAGCGGGCTCGCTTTTAGGGTAATCACCCCTTATGTTGAGCCTTATATCATATTCAGTTTAACCATTTTGATGCATTTAAATTATTATGAGCCGCATCATTATCACCGAAATTATGCACGGCCACATCAAGATTCGAAGTCGGCTGGGACTTCCGCCGAATTCTGGACGAACGCGCTCTCTAACCATAGTCGCCATCGACCAATTCAGTCCAGTTCTATCACATTCCTCTTCCTTTTTCTCATTCTTTACAGCCCAGGTTTGGGTACGATCCACTATCTTACTTAATGATACTTAATGATATTGTCCAGCACAGGTTCCATTCAAAGGATCCTCTTCGCTGGACTCATAAGTGTTATTATCATAATTACATATTTCACTTCCGGTTGTTACACGTATTGTCCCTTTGTAGTTGTTGAAGTCTGTTTTTGAAGCTATTGAGTGTGTTTGCGGTTACTATGTGATCAGGCAAATTGTTCCATATATACTGCTGTTGTTCTTATGGAGAATGCATTTTTCAGTAGTGATGTTCTTGTGTATCTAGGGAATATGTTCATGGAGTTTGTCCTTGCGCTTGATATTTCTCATCCTCGATATCCAGGGGTTACGCTCACTTTCGCACTCTGCACCCCATACATTCTATAACAGGGCATGTTCTAGCTAGGGCTTCTGTCCATTCTTCTTAAACATTTAAGAGCAAGGCTATTGACCGTCCTAACATGAAACCATACTAGCTGCTTGTTTGTAAATAGTGAATTAGTTGGTATGTGCTTGGTATTCGTTATCTTATTAAGTTTTCCATTGTTTTCCATATATATATATATATCCTAGCTCTTGACAAACATATATACCGACGTTACTTGTTCTCAGACACCTCTGCGTGCAGGCCAGGATTCGAACCCGAGACCTCCGAATTCCAGACGGACGCTCCACTTACCGACCGAGTAATCCCTGCAGTATTGAGTTTGCCAGATCGCGCGCGATCGACCGAGTCCAGTTCCGCTCGTTACCACTAATTTATCAGAGACGTACGTATACATGTTTACAGCGTAATAATACCATCGTTTTAAGTATTACGTAATAGACACAATCGACCTTTTGTTGTTGTTTTTTTGTGTTTTTTTGTGTTTTTGTGTTGTTTTTTTTTACCTGTGAGCCATATTTCATCAAACTGGGACGAAATGTGAAGAAAAAAATCCCGATAAAAGTTTCATAAGATAGAATCTCAGTCAAATTAAAAACATTTGTTACGTACGCCTGGTCAACATTTAATGAGTATTTATATAAACATGTATAGATCGAAAGGTCGATCTGAACGTAACCCGAATCACGGCACATTCAGATGTTCAGGTGTAGTACGTAGTTATTTAACGAAGCCATGTAACTTATGATTGTAATCATGTATATTGCATAGAATCATATAGGGGAAATGAAACGTGACAGACATATATAGGATAGCATGTCATATATGTAACTTACTGTATGTATGTACGTCTCTGTGTAGATATATATTTAGTTTACAGATATGTGTATTTTTTAAAATTTTACTCTTTCGAAAAGCAGATACGCTTGAACTAAGTTGTAAATATTACCATGTACATCAGAGTGAAATTGAAAACAGTTTGACATATATATATATATATATACATGTAGCTCTTAATTCTATATATGCGTGACTGTGCCGTTTTGATGAAATCAAATCATAATGCGTGGGTGGAGAACTCTATTGTAGTGTCACGATATTTGTTCGACATTTCACATGATACTTCAGAATGTAATATATATTTCAGTATAACAATTTGCGTTCCTAATAATACGTTCTTATATCGATTTCATATGATGTGAACCTGGAGCAGGTGCTTGTTTGTGCTGCCATCTATTACCAGATCACATGTGTTTGAGCGGCGATTTTGATTGGTCAGGAGAGGGATGGACCCCCTGCGATGCCAAAATCATAACAAGCTTGTCGTTTTCTGCCATTATGGCTAACCCAAGGAAGTTCAGTGAAAAGATAGCATTACATAATCAAAAACAAGCGGAGGAAACCGCCGCTTTCGAGGCAATTATCAGAGATGTATCGGCTGCAACTAGGGTAAGTCTTGCTGTCAGATTAAATCGAGAACTGTCTAAATTCAGCGTATAGCAGACCGAGGTTTGAGGGTAATCTGTATAAAATGGTGACATACATATCGTATTTTACAGGGTTCACCCGGTTATTCTACCCCAAATCAGCATCTACAACTCCAACAGAATATCATGGGTCAATACAGGGCAGGGTCACTGCCAAACGTCAACCAGATGGCCGGTAATTCGGCTGTAGACTTGCAGGTAAGTCGACTGCTAAGATGTAGACTCGCTCTGAAATATAACATGGCGTCGTGCAACATCAATTTTGACTTGTTTTGGTTGTGATTTTGTTCTTGTGTGACTGTAAATGTAAGTTTTAAGATATCATTATGACAAAAAAATCGTTTTCTATTACTAGACGACCCTCCAGCATTTCGAGGATATACGAGGAGGGCCAATACACAACCGTGGCATCGACAGACTACACAACCGGGACAGGGGGAGACAACTAGGACCACACCGACGTGCTTTCCCTATGGACAAGCAAAGGGTATGGTATTTTCTGATTGTAATCTATAAATCATCCTAATAATAAACGTGTTGCTTAGTCGTTTTCATTTGGATACCACATGCAGCATCATTGTAAATCATTCAATGTAGGTCAAAACAATCAGCAGATAAAATCTGGGTCAAAATTTACTGTTAACAGCTGCAGTAGGCCTATTGACCTAATTACATTTAAATATGTAGGCATTAGTTTCAGTGACCAATACAACTCATGAAATGACTTATCAAAACGATTATTATGCAGTCATATGCAGGAATGTTAAACCGAAGATGCTGTTGAGACCTTGTTTAGGGCAGGACATGGGTGGGGCTCTGTTTCGTATCTACATGACCAGCTGGTACCTGGACAAACACTAATTATCACATGATGTTCATCAAGCTGATTCAATAGATGTCTGCTACATGGTTTTGTATATATATGGACCAATTCTTACTGTGATTATCATAGTATTATTTATACTAGGGGTTGTCGGTGGAGAGGGGGGGCGTCACAAAGCCGTGGAAATCTCTTTGCCAATTATAACAAGTTAGCAGTGATATGTCACTCTAAACATGTAGATGGATTGATTTTTTATTCAATTGATTAAGATGAAAAAAAATGTATTATGAAACAAAAAATTTTGGTCCATGTGTTAGTTTATTGGCCTGTTTTTATATAAACTCGCCGGTAACAGAAGATGCAACTTGGAAATTTATTTGTCCCTTAAATTGCCCATTATTGTATTTCTTATCTGCACTCATGGAATATGTCTTGACAAAAATGATTGCTGATCAATGTGAGATTTTTTTATTTGTTCAAGCTGACAATACTTTGCAGCAATGCTGATAGTCAGTGGTACTTAAAATGTGCTATCAAATAGCTATTCTAAGATAAAAGCTTGTACATTTTACTGTTATGCTGCTGTGTAATCTTAACTATAAGGTGGGTTTTTTTAAATTTAAGATCACAGGTATGTAGGATTTGTCAGTTTGTATCCTCTGCAGGTTATCTGCAAGTTAGTGTTTACGCAGGAAATTATGCAAAATAATTAACGACCCTATGTACATGTTCAGTGTTTGATCTTACCAACTCTCCCTATTTTGGAAGGAGACCCTCAATTTTGGACCCTAAAATTGCGCATTTTCAATGAGTGAATTTGCTCGATTTGCTGAACTTTTTCAATTTTTTAAGATATGATGATTTTAACTGAAAGAACAACTCAAAAGATGCCATTTAAAAGTATCATTTTTTCCCTAGGGTGTACATACACACATTTTATTTATGCTTTTAATTCCTAGCACGCATAATCTCTCCAAGGAAATTAAAAAAAGTTGGCAAGTATGATTCGGTGTTGAGTTCAGGGTGTTAAACCCTGAAACTAACAAAAGTCTGATGAAATAAATGCTATAGCACTACAAGAAAAAACACCCAGCAAACATACAAACAAAAACTCATTGATTAAAATGTATTTCTTGATTATGTATGATTGGTTTTAGACAGGTATCAATTTTAATGCTCTACGTACTGTAATCTTGATAAGAATAAAGGATACTCAGTGCCACAAGAATGGCAGTTAAAATCTGAAAGCCTGTCTATTCTTAATGAAGTATTTCATTTGATGGTTCCTCTAAAATTGAATTCAAAGTACAAAGAATTTACATACACTGATAACGTCTTACTGCTGTTGCAGTGTAAGAGGAACAAACTTAACTGATATGTTTTTTTCACTGCTGGTATAACTGGTTCATGATCAGTGTTGAAGAATGAATGATTGATACTGGTATTTTATTTATTTTATTTCTGTTTCAGACTGACTGTTCTCCATATGGGTCTGCATTCCTTTCTCCTCCTCCGGACACAAGCTGGCGCAGGTAAAAACAATATGCCAATCCCTATCAAATATTCATTCCAGGTTGGACTGATCTGTGATTCCAGAATGGAATTGAGTGCAACATTGTCTTTGGGAATCTTCTACACAATATGTTACTAGTCATAAGTCCATAGCCTAGCTATATTTATATAGCTCCTTCCCTTTAGATAAAGGTATAGATAAGTGCCTTACTTCTTCTTGCATAATACAGTCAAATTTTGAAATAAGGTTTAAATTTTATGTAAGGATCAGGCCCATTGGACTTGTTACTAGTAAAAACAGTAATGTATCTTTGAATCTGCAAGCATTCATCGTAATGTTTTCCACTTTGTTTGAGGTCAGCTGTGATGAATTTTGGTTTGGTGACTGGCATGGTGTGTTTGTCTGGGAGAACTGAATGATCACCTGTTACCATCTACCTACCATATTTGATATAATAAGGGCACCTGCTCTTAAAGAACACCCCCTAGCTGTGATTTTAAAAAATGAACTGGATTATACAATTTTGGAAAATCATTTAGTTGGTTTTGTAACAACTTGCACTGTCAAAATGGAACAAAAAACAAAATTATCAAAGAAATTATCTTGCGATACAATGGTTATGACCAAAGTTAATTTTCTAAATGATGTACAGCTTTATTATTTTTAAATTTAACTTTGGAGATAGATAAAGATACCTTGTCTCTGTTGTGGTGGAGAAGAGTTAAAATACAACCTAAGATATGTGTTGGTTGAGAAAGTAAAATAAAAGTGCTTCATTTGTCATTTACCTGTGGTGAACCACCTTATTATGTCAGATATGGTATAAATATATATATGAACTCCAGTGCTTAAACCCCCTGACCAAATTCGTTTATGATGTACCAAAACATTCTACCCCCTTGACCCAGACTTTGTTATGATACATACCCAAAGAGGGACTATAAGTTGTATATCCCTATGTTATTGACCAACCAATTTCTGTGACCAAGCTTCCAACCAATATATTTTATATATTTTATGTTAGCCTACCAATCCTACTATTTGCTTATAACCTTGCCAATCAAAATATTTTCTGTTAACTTGTTACCAATCCAAATATTTGTTATGTAGTCTTCCAACCCAGATATTTCTGTCTGTTTATCATTTATAACATTGCGCAAAAATTAAAGAGGCGAAAATTGAACAAAACAAATTATTAAAGACATTTTCTGTATGTTTGTGATCAGCAAACAAAAATAATGTTTTTTTTAAGCATCTGGTAATTCAAAGGTGTCTGGTCAAAGGTTTATTAATCTGAAGTAAACAAAAAGCGTAATTTGTATCACCTTTTTGAATATGATTTTTGTCAGCTTTGATAACTTAATGTTCCCCTTTTGTTAAATATTCTCCCAGCTGTGCTACATTGAGCCTTCTGCTCATGAAGATTTGCATATATAGGCCGAACATTTATACATATGTCGTATTGGACACCTGTAGCATGGGTGGATGGATTGGTTTATATAAAGAGATAATTAATTGGAACATTGTACAGTGTATCAGGATAAGGTTAGAAGATATAAGCTGATGTCTTAATACGTACATCTTTAACCCTTTCACCACTGTACACCATAATGGACTCATTCAGATCAATGCGTGGGAGAGTCTACTAAAGTTGCATAGGGGTGAAAAGGTTAGTAAGAAAACAGATTTTAAAACGAGTTAGGTGTCGCTTTATGCCTTTATATACCTTTCTCTCTTAAAACTAGATATACAGTAAATATAAACCTTGTAAAAGAATTTAGACCTTAAAGAGCATTAATACCTTAAAGATCCTAATATATTGTGACTGATATCAATCCTCGAAAATACAAACATGTTACATGTACCTGTTTATCTTCTGCAACATCAGCTTCTACCCAAATCACATATACTATATATTTATATAATTAGGAGATAGCTGTGAAATGGGTAGAGATCAGATTACACTTATACGGTCACAATGTAGTGTTAATTACATGTCAAATGAATTATAATATGGATTATATACCTACAAAACATAGAAATCACATTGACCATACCTTAACTTAACTCCCCATACCAACAAATCATCTCTAACACTAGTATGGATTACATATGATGAGTACAACCTTCATTATAACTCCGCTATAGTCTACACCTGGTACCATAGTGACCAAACCCTGGGCTACTGTGGTACCTCACACCCTTATAACTTTCAGATGCTGTGGCCAAGGGAGCAAGCTAAGCAACTGATCTTTGTAAGATATTCCATTTCATTATAGCCCCCCCCCCCCCCCCCCCCCCCCCCNAAACTCTTGTTTTACAAACCAAACCTTAAAATGGTACCAGCTGTCTGTTAACTCCACATCCACAGTACTATGATCTAACCAACTGGCCTCCTGCCCTTAATGTCCCTGCCTTAAGATTAACCTACCCTTTGTCTTCTTAGAGCTCATAGCCTCTAGTCCTTTATTAATGCCCACACATGATGTATGTACATGCCTTTTGCCCACAACATTAGCTTCTCAATCAAACCTCTTTTAAATTCACCCATCAATCACGTCCATAGGCCTTTTCCACACAAATCCTCCTTTAATTACACCTGTCAATCATGTTACAAGGTCCACCTCCACGCCATCCCTTGTCTTACACATATTCCTGCAGTCACATGGTCCATCTGCACACCTAACCTAGCTCCTCCTTTTATTCTTAACATTATGAAGATAAACTATATTCCCATGTTTTAACTTTGAATATTAATTGTGATCGATGACAAACTTGTAGGTCACTGAAATAGACCATAGGTAATTACCGTAATTGAATGTAAAACACTCAGAATAAATAATTATTCTTGTAGCTAGTTCAGTGTTGTATACATTTTAATAAATGAAAAAAAACCACTTTGACCATCATCTAAAAGAAAAGTCCTTTTTTTCCAGTTTTCGTAACCAATTCCCGGGGAACCAAAGAAATTACATCCCTTTGCTATGTAGGCATCATTTCTCTGAAAGATTGATAATTATATGAAATTAGTGCTGATAGGGGGAAAATATAAGTTTATTGAAGTACATAAGAATTCGGCAGTAGTCTAGACCTAAGAGAATGAAATATTTAAACCTTTTAAAAAAAGACAGAAAATTCGTAAACCTTTTAAAAAAAGACAGAAAATTCGTAAAAAGCTTGGTTGAACTTAACATTAATATTACACATACAAATAAACATATCTAGAATTTAGAAAGCAAGAGAAAGTGCAAGTGATGGTGAAATCAGTCTGCTGTCCAAGAAACTCTGATGATGTTGAAGCTCCACCTATTGTTGTTTTGAATTAATTTTGTTTTACTTTCAGCTGTCTCAATTCTTGCACTGCTACTTCTATGATTTGATTTTAATTTTGTTATTTTCAATTGTATTTTTTTTAAAGCTAAATTGATTTTATTTGGTTGATGAGATTTGATCCCAGGGCTCACTCTGTCATGGAGAACTGGCAGGCTCTGTAAACACTGTGTCACCAACTGTAAACCAACTATGTTTGACGAAGGTTTTATCAAAGCAATGTAAATGTATGTGAATAACATAAAAAAAGTCAAATTTCTCAGACCTGTCTTAAAGGGACAAAGTAATGAAGGAAGGTTTCAGTTAGATGTAAAATATATGTGTGAACAAACAAAAAAAAGTCAAGTTTCATGATATCCTGTCTTAACTCATTCACCCCTGAAGACACATTTGAACTCTTCCAATTAAAATGTTGGAATAGTTCATTATGAAATTTCAGGGGTAAATCAGTTAAAGGGACAAATGAAGGAAGGTTTCTTTTGCATAAAAGTATTTATAGAGATATGTCTGTAACGGTATTAACAGCTGATCAATTTATTGAAAGGTCTATTGATAGGTATTTTATAGACATGTTCTTGTAGACCTATTGTTGACATTTATGTTATAGGTAGATAGATAAGAATATATAATAGACAGCTAGCTATAGGGTATTTTGTAGACTAGAAATATAGTATAGACAGGCTTTAAAGACAGTGTTCGGTACATTCATATTTTGGTAAATTTTGCTAAATGCTCAATAAGAGATAGAATATGACAGTGTATCATTTATAAACATCCAAATATGTTAATTGTAATTACCAGGTTCCTGTTTTATTCTGTTTTTAGTTTCTTTTTGAGAATGAAGGATACTGGATAAAAATAAAGCATATGAAAAATAAATAAGTTAGAATAGATTTTGGGAATTTCTTTTATTGAAGTTTGAAAGAAACATGTTTAAATTTCATGGATCAAAGCTGAAATAGATATAAAAAATGGAAAAACCATACTAGCTAAAAAAAGACGTATAACCTAGTGTCCCGTTAAAGATTTAGACAGCTAGCTGATGTACAAGATATACTATGGACAGCTGTGATAATATGTGATCTTATTATGATATGTATTGCATCATCAGACGCACATAGATTTATTATGTCAGGGAGTTTATTAGATATATATGTAGACACTTTTATACCATTCATATACCTAAACTGTAATTTAGTCATAACATTTCAAAAATGTAGCTCATCACAAATTTTAAGAGAATTGCTACAACTTCAAAAATGTATTGTTACTGTTGCCTACTTCCAAAGATTGTTGGTTTACAGTTTTGTGTTAATAATGATGTCTGCTTGTATTGTCTGTGAGAAGCAGTGTAAGAGCACCTTGTGTGAAAATGAACTATTGTAGACAGTGAGCATGTTGTTTGAGCAATGAGTAATGTTATAGATAATGAGCATCTTGATTGAGCAATGTGCATTGCTGCAGACTGGCAGCATTATGTGTGAATAATGAGTAATGTAGACGCGGAGCATCTTGGTTGAGCTATAAAGATTGCTTTAGAAGATGAGCATAATATGTGAGTAATACTTGATTGAGCAAAGAGCATTGCTTAAGACACTGAGCACATAGTATGAGCAATGAGTAATGTAAACAGTGAGCTTATCATATTTTGTACAAGTAATGAGCATTTGTATAGGCAATGAGCATCTTCAGTAAAGAACATTGCTGTGGACAGTGATGAGCATTGGTGTAGGCAATGAGCACATTGTGTAAGCATTTGTTAACGAAGATAGTGAGCATTTGGATTACAATAAACATTTCTGTAGACAGTGAGCATATTGTGTGAGCGTTGAATGTTTGTATAGACAATGATTGAGCAATGAGCATAGTTATAGACCGTGAGCATATTGATTGAGTTAAGAACCTTGCTGAAGACAGTTTAATCTTGGGTAAGCAATGAGCATTATTGTAGGAAAGGAGTGTCCTTTGCACATTGTTAGCTCACCTGCCCGAAGGGCAAGTGAGCTTATGCCATGGCGCAGCGTCCGGCCTCCGGCCATTAAATTTTCCTTTAAAATGCTACTTGTCCTGATCCTGAACGGCCCAGTAGATTTACACTAAATTTGGTTTGGAGCATCCTTAGGCCAAGGGGACTCAATGTTGTAGAAATGGTGAGTGGACCCCCTGGGGGCATAGGGACGGGGCCCAATAGGGGAAACAGAGGTAAAACCTTTAAAATCCTTCTTCTACCATATGGATTAAAGGATTTTATCCTAATTTGGTCTGGAGCAGCCTTGGGCCAAGTGGACTCAGTTTTGTATAAACAATGGGTGTGGCCCCCTGGGGGCAGAAGGTGGGGCGAATAAGGAAAATAGAGGTAAACCTTTAAAATCCTTCTTCTATCGTCAGAATAAAGGAATTTTATCCTAATTTGGTCTGAAGCATCCATGCGCCAAGGGGACTTAGTTTTGTTTAAACATAGGGTGTGCCCCCCCTGGGGTCAGAGGAGTGGGGCCCAATTGGGGAAATAGAGGTAAACACTTTTGAAATCCTTCTTCTACAATAGGGATTAAGGGATTTCATCCTAATTTGGTCTGGAGCATCTTTTGGCCAAAGGGACCCGGTTTTGTATTAATTGTGGGTTTGGACTCCTTTTGAGCAGAGTTGCAGGGCCCAACCGGGGAAATAGAGGTAAAAAACCTTAGAAATCCTGCTCCTACCATAGGAATGAAGGGATTTTATCCCAATTTAGCCTGGAGCATCCTTGGGCAAAGTTGACTAAATTTTGTATAAACGAAGGGTGATATCCCTCTGGGTGCTGAGAGTTGCGGGGCCCAATAGGGAATTTCGAGGTTTATATCTTTATTTTATGTAATAAGAATAATTTCCCATGATTGCTTTATTATCCAGGTGAGCGCTATAGGCCATCTGGGCCTCTTGTTGTAGAGGGAGTGTCTTTTGAGCATTGTTGAAGACAGGGAGTGTCTTTTAAACATTGATGTAGACAATGAGTGTCTTTAACATAGTTGTAAAGGAGTGTTGTAAACAGGGAGTGTCTTTTGAGCAGTTGTAGACAGGGAGTATCTTTTAAGTGTTGTTGTAGACGGGGAGTATCTTTTGAGCATTGTTATAGACAGGGAATGTCTTTTGAACATTGTTATAGACAGGGAGTATCTTTTGAGTGTTGTTGTAGACAGGGAGTATCTTTTGAGTGTTGTTGTAGACAGGGAGTATCTTTTGAACATTGTTGTAGACAGGGAGTATCTTTTGAACATCGTTGTAGACAGGGAATGTCTTTTGAACATCGTTATAGACAGGGAGTATCTTTTGAGTGTTGTTGTAGACAGGGAGTATCTTTTGAACATTGTTGTAGACAGGGAGTATTTTTCTAGCATTGATGTAGACAGGGAGTATCTTTTGAACATTGTTGTAGACAGGGAGTATCTTTTGAACATTGTTGTAGACAGGGAGTATCTTTTGAACATTGTTGGAGACAGGGAGTATCTTTTGAGTGTTGTTGTAGACAGGGAATGTCTTTTGAACATCGTTGTAGACAGGGAGTATCTTTTGAGTGTTGTTGTAGACAGGTAGTATCTTTTGAGTGTTGTAGACAGGGAATGTCTTTTGAACATCGTTGTAGACAGGGAGTATCTTTTGATTGTTGTTGTAGACAGGTAGTATCTTTTAAGCGTTGTTGTTGTCAGGGAGTATCTTTTTAACATTGTTGTAGACAGGGAGTATCTTTTGAGTGTTGTTGTAGACAGGGAGTATCTTTTGAGTGTTGTTGTAGACAGGTAGTATCTTTTAAGCGTTGTTGTTGACAGGGAGTATCTTTTTAACATTGTTGTAGACAGGGAGTATCTTTCGAGCATTGTTGCTGACAGGTAGTATCTTTTGAGCGATGCTGTAGACAGGGAGTATCTTTTGAGCGTTGTTGTAGACATGAGTCAGTGTATTATGTGAGTTATCTGACTTGTGTGTGTGTCTGCCCTGTGAACAACAAGAGACTATGGATGTGAACATCAGTCTGTTTAATAAATACATCAATGATTTTACTAGGCTCTTCGTGGTACCAAAATACAACTCCAATTACTCTGAAAATTAACTTGATCTCCTCCTTTTGAAGTTCAAAAAGAAAAGTCTCTTTTCTATGCATTTATTTCATATGAAATAGGAATAAATAATTTTAATTAAACGATCAATTTTTGGATTTAATTACCATTGTTCCTCGTTTGGTCTATCCCAACTCCATGAATGACGTAAAATCATTGAGCCTGTTTGTTTATGATGCGAGAGTCTGTAAATATCGTGTGTTTGTGTACACAGTTTGCCTCCATGTAGACAGTGTGAGCCCTTGCACGTTTTCCATAACTTGGTATCCATTTTATGGAGTGTACCCATTTCAGGTTATTTCGTCATCTTAACGGTCCTAACCTATCTCGGTGAGTTTTTCTTTCTCCATTACTGCATTTTCTGCCGCTGTGACATTCCCGTCCGAAAACCCATGTATTGCTTGTATCGGCCAAAGTATGCTCAGGATGTCTTGAGCCACTGTCTGGAAAATATTGTTTGCATATCTCTTAGAATGCATCAGGCATGGCATATTGTCAGTCTCCTGTCCTTCTGGTAAGTGACCTATGTACATTGTCAGTTTTCTGGTACCCAACTGTCTCGTGTCTGTCATATGGATCAGTAACCCTTGTTTGTCCTTGTCAGAACCTAGTGTAGTTTGACCTTCCAGTTAAAAATACATGTAGATAAGATTTTTTGCCAGTTCCCGTTTTGGTACATGTTTTTTGAGATGATGAAATAAATTTCCAACTGAATTCAACCTGACAATCAATATATGATACCATGGATGCATGTAAGGAATTGTACAACATTTACTGAAATCTGCATCAAAGAAACAAATGACAACAATATGTTTATCCTACTCTGTGATTTCATTTATCCATATAAAAGCTATGATCTGCTTGAAAGTGTTACTCGGGTTGGCAGTTACTGCACATCATAGGAAAGCTTGTTCCCTTCAGCTGAAGCTTAAATATGAAAAGCAAATACGGGTGAGCGAATGGCTATTGATGCATGCAGTGTGTTTATTCAAATTATCTTTGAGATCTGTATATTCATAAAAAAAGAAGACAGTGTCAAACATGTTTTTTTTTTGATAATTCCGAAGACTCAATCCGATTTAATTAATGCCAAATATGCGAGAAAGTTGAAAAACTAAATTGATCATGAAGATCATAAACGGCTGAATATTTTAAAAGTTTTTGACTTTTTTTAGATCTCTAGGTTACTTCAGAGATGTTTTCAAAACATGGCAAAATCACCTTCCATTTCGCATAAAATAAGTAAAAAGCTCTTATCCCAGAAATCAGTTCATTGCGAAAGTATTGTCATCTGTGTACAAAAATCTCCAGGATGCAATAAATTTTAAGACAACATGGCGCTGAAATTATTATATTTCTTTCAAAGAAACTACTGAATATTAAATACACTTTAAATCTTGATTAATATGATGAGAATAATTCTGAGAACAAAAGATCATTTTGAAGAACAACCATTACACTTCCTGGTGCATGTTATGCAGTCTTTTCCGATGACTAATTATTAAATACACATGTATTCCTTCATTAATCTTTATGTACATGTATTATAAACTCATCATTCTTCAAATTCGTCTTTAAAGATTACCTTCATACTTGTAGGCTTGATTTTTGTTTTCTAAATAGTTAATCATAAACATTTGGAGATATTTTAAGATACCCTTTTCAATGAATTGTGGATTCAGGGCTGCTACATACTATGCATAAATTATTTCTCTATAAAGCCTGTGGCCTTTGACAAAAAGCATCTAACTCCAGTCATGTTTATTGTAAATTTTTCATACTGAAGCTGTTATCAATTTCTTTCATCACACTTAAACAGGTGATCATAAATCATTAACAAAGATACTGATATTAGCAATGGCAGGTAACTATATACAATTGAACATTTGTCTGAGATATACCAAAGCCCATTTTTAACTATCATGGGTGATGTTATAAGTATTAGATGAAAATCAAGATGACAAAGGATTTTTTAATGAATTTTTGTTAAGTACATTGAAGTTTCTGTTTACTTTCATGAAATTATTCAATTTTCGAGCGTGTGCTGATTTCTGACCTTGACCTTAGAAAAATGCTATGAAAGCACAACCTTGTTCAGAACATCATGCAGCTCTGTATTATACTGTACATGTGGTGTAAGTGCTTTTGAAATCCTCTTTGAAATAGTGCTTGTCAAAATAAAACTGAAAGAAACTTGGGTAACCATATTGTTTCACTTGGTATCTCGCAAAGGGATCACTCATGATCAGTCATCAAAGGCTATGGACTTTGTCTCTGGGAAACAATATATCTGCCAAAGGCTGTAAATGCAGCAATGTCTCATTGTATGGGGATTATTTTTGTACTTCTGAATAAATTTTGCTACAAAATTTGGATAAAGTAGGATCAGTCATTGAAAATCTTTGTGATGATCAGTGTTTTCCATAAGAGGCAGCAATTTACAAATTGCAAGAAGCCAGTGTTTCTTGTGTAGTTTGGATCTGCTTAAATTCACACATCCAAATAAGGTACATTTGTTTATAAAACTGCTCTAAATTGACCTGCTGGAATTACCATTCGGCTAACCTCTCGGAATGAAAATCTGGAAAATGGTTGATAATTCAAGACAAATTTAGTTGGATTTTTATTTTGAAATCTCAAAAATGTTGATAAAAAGTTAAAAACAAATGAAGTTGACATTAGAAACAACAGACACTGTCATGAAAATCTTTAAATATGAACGCTAAAATATCTTTATCATGATGCCTGCATAGAAATTTGTCAGAATCGGCTTATGTCTCTTTCCCTTGATTTGTCCTTCATCTTTCTACCAGCATCTATATGCCTGGTATATATCTATAAACTGTCCCTATGGTTCACCTCTTCATGAACTGTATGGTTTTAATTACAAGCTCTTAATAATACTCTTTAATATTTCTTAGGGCCAGAGTTATATGGCATTCTGTATACATATTTCAGGTTAAGTCGAGTACCAGTGCTCTGTGTTATTTATATCTCAAACAAAATCTAAATTTGGAGTCGTTTGTTCATTTACTAAGAAAGAAAAATATACATATACAAAAGAAATATACTAGGATATTATCTTCAACCCTCTTGATTATAAAGCGATGAGCTTATATTGTACTGGAGCCTCTTGTATAGAAGATGTGACTGCCAAGATGCATGCTTTATTTGATACAGTCAGAGATATGCAAACAAGATTGACCAGGCACGGATATCTGCATCCTGTCTGTAAGCTGGCTGACCAGTACCTATGTCTGAAAGCATGACTGATTGAAATGGTGTGTTTGTAGTCTACCGTGTACTGGATACTAACTATGATGGAATGTATATAAGGACACTGCCAGCATAAGTTAGAGGTTTTTCTGAGAAGGTTTTTACCTGTCCATTCATGATCATCAGTCCACATATGTTTTAATATTGAGTACACCTACTGGTAGAAGTTTCTATCATTACTTTACCTAGGTATTGTCATTCTGTTTGTCTTCATTTCATTTTCGTCATCCAGAACTAGTCATAAGCATCATAAAGATGAATTCTAATCCATATTCTTTGTAAGAATTTACCTTAGTAATACTGTGAAAATTCTCCCTCCCAATTTCAATTTTCTTTTATCTTTATATACACCGTATAATGGTTAGGGCTGTCACAATACACATGTTTATCGGAAAACAGGTATATCGCAATACACGAGTATATCGTATCGTATCGCAATATTTTTATGTATCAGGTTGGTGTTTTCACTTTGCAAATTACTACAAATTCTAACAGATATGCCAATAAGCATAAAGCAGGCTTTAAGTAATTTAAATTTTATAGTCGATGGTTGGTTTGACAAAAATCTTCAATCTATATAATCCATAATATATATGATTAAGTTTGATACCATTCTTACAATAACTTATTATAAAATTGAGCACATCCTTCCTATGACATTATTTCAGGATATGTATCGCAATATATTCATTCTGTATTGCAATGTAACGTGATACACTCTTGGTGTATTGTGACACCCTCAATAATGGTCCGTCTACTTTATGATATTTACAAAATATACTTAGGTATTTATGATGGGGGATTTCATGATATATGTACTGTATTGTTCTCCAAGATTGATCTGAACTTATGTTGGCAGAATCCTTCTCGCGAGATGTGATGTATTTGGACAGGTGTGGTGTGTCTTGTAGATAAACAGGTGTGTCGATGGCAGTGTGTAGATATATATTACATGTCAAGTTACCTTTAGTCCGTGTAGCTGTTCAGATGTGTAGCTACATATGAAATGAAATGTGTGCTGTGTGTATAATTACACTGTAGTTTTACATACAAGTGTGACCTACAGAGGTATGTTCTGGCTATACATACATGCAGCTTGATATACATATGTAAAAAGGTGTGATATGTAGCTCTATACAGGTATACCTATTTAAAAACAAGTGTGACTCACATGTATACCATTTTGACCTATATATGTACAGTAGTATACAGGCCATACATAGAATACATGTGTGTTGAAGCTATATATATATACATGTGATCTACATGTGTATACAGGTATTTTCGTAGTTATACAGTATGACAGGTATTGTACTTTGCATATGTGTATCGGTGCAGATATGACCAACGTGTATTCAGGTGTGTTATAGCATATAGCTAATACAGATAGATGTACCACACATTTGACTCACATTATGCTCATGATACTAGTGTGACCTCTATTTACTTGTATATAAGTATATGACCTACATATATACAGGTGTTAAATTACATATCCACAGGTACGTTATAGCGTTACAGAAGAGTGTGAGAGATTTATAACAATGCTGGTTATTGGTAAACAATGCAACTGATTAATATGAATGTTCTAGCTTTAGAGGGTGTTATTCATTACAAGTGTAGTACTGTGGTTATATGGTGTCCCATCCTAATTGGGATGCTTCCAGCTACCATAAGCATGAGGTTGGGTTCGTATTGGTGTCAGCGTTCAGTGTTAATGTGGAGGGAAGCCTGTACAACTAGCTACTGCTTGGGACTATGGAAGAGGTGAAAACGGATCTGTTTGTACTTTCATTTGCAGCTCAATCATGATTGCAATAGCATGGACATTGTTCTTGACTAAACTGCATGTGACACTGATGTGTTGCGGATTTAAATCCTTCAAATTTATTCATATTATATAATGTCTTCAATTTAAGGTGTCTACTCGCACGAAGGAATGAAGGAATGATCTGCGGTATGAAATGTATAGAGATATATTGCCTCAAGATATAAAGTGTATTGTTTTCAGTTTCAGCTCACCTGGCCATCTTTTGTGATAATCTGTCAGAAATTATTAAAAACATGTCGAAATTAAACCACAAAGTGTCTAGCAACTACGTATAGTAGACTGTGTTATTCCACAGGACAAAGGGCCAGGTGTCTCCTTTAAAATAGATGCACATGTATTAACTGTGAAGGAAGACACATTTTCTAACCACTACCAGAGATAATGACTGATTGCATTTTGATTGGGTGTTGTCATGCCATTGCACAATTATAGCTACTTGGAAATAACCGTTGCCTTGTAAACAGAATAAATATATAGGTACACAAGAGGTTGTGGCATGGTACAGCCTTTGGCATTCGTAGTAATTTTTTTCACAAAATGATCCTTTCCTTTAAAAAGTGCTTGAGGAGATTTGATCAAAGAGTAAAATAAATTCAGACTTTTATAAAGGAATTGTAGTGGCCTCGGGATTTGGTAAAATTAGGGACCTTCGTTAATGTAGGTAAATCTTCAATGATAATCTCGACCAACTTTAATGTTATCCCCTCACATAACGTCAGCTGCAGCTTGTGGAATGTCTAGCATTTGCATCGCCCCTTTGTCAACTGGTCTACTCCTCGTAAATGGATGCACAAATTTTGACCAAGTTTGTATGGATGATTACCAAGGTGATCATTGATAAATGAAGCATGTGCCCTGCAATTGGTGATGAACAGATGAATGCACTTAATCCACTCGTGCACTCACACACCATGATCTCTCCAGCTGGACCCTGGGACCGTGTCATAAATTAGGAATGGTTAAGATCCCCGTCTCTCTCTCTCTCTCTCTCTCTCTCTCTCTCTCTCTCTCTCTCTCTCTCTCTCTCTCTCTCTCTCTCTCTCTCTCTCTCTCTCTCTCTCTCTCTCTCTCTCTCTCTCTCTCTCTCTCTCTCTCTCTCTCTCTCTCTCTCTCTCTCTCTCTCTCTCTCTCTCTCTCTCTCTCTCTCTCTCTCTCTCTCTCTCTCTCTCTCTCTCTCTCTCTCTCTCTCTCTCTTCCACTCCCTGTTGTCATATGCATATATATATATATATATATATCTCAACCAAATTTCCTGCAATGCATTCTTGGTCCATGGAACCTGGGAACCATTTCAAGAAAGAAGGTAGTTCCTCTTTGGGCGTGGCTGAATCCAAATTGGGAGGGACAATTAAAAGTCTACTTCTCTTGAACTGTTGATAACATTTCAACCAAATTTGCTCTAAGGCACCCTGAGTACAACATAATCAAATGGTATTTAAAGGAAAGGTGCTGTCCCTGTCAATGCTTAAAGGCAGAGCCAAACTTGGTGAATATTTGCAATTTTATATATAGTAGTTAATGAAAACACTTTACTTTGGTTAAACATTGCTTAAATAACCAGGAGAGATGTACAAGCCCGGGGGGCCCTCTAAGCCTTTTATTGGTAATCATAGTGTTGGCTGAAGACAATGGTAATGTCATCTGTTCAAGTTATGTACATTATCATGGTTGCTGAAGTGTGGTGCAGTTAGCAGCTACTGATATTGAAAAAAATAATCTTCAGGGAATAGATTGGGTGATGGTAGACCAAACGGGTCAATTGTCTCCTCCAGTTTGAATTGGCATTCAGAGTTCAGTGCTGAGCAATTTTGTCGGTGTCCTACCTCAGAACAAGTCTGCTGTTAATAATTGACGACTTTTCCTGCTTATGTACTAAATAAAATCCAATGGGTATGTTACATCGCTGATGTTGGCGGCAGCTATGGAGGGAGGCAATCACAAAAGCCAGATTGATTATTGTGGGGTGGGAGGTAATTCGATTCACCCATCAGCTGTGTCTATATAAAGAAACATCAATACAGTGGTGTTGGAAGGTGGTGCGAAAACTTCAAAGCAATCCTATATAAAGCCTACAGGGATAAAAGGCTGTGGTTTGGTCTAACATGTCTATTATGCTTCAACACAAACAGCAGACTATTTAAAAAAAATCTTCTCAAGTGTTTCCCCAAATTCCCCACATGGCCTTCAATACAATTCTGTTACCTGAAAAGCCAAATAAAATAAGACACAAAATATATATCCATAGTAAAGTATAAATTGCATATTAATGAAAAATAAAGAATATATCCTATACATCATTTAATTGGCATTACAGATCTAGACAAATGTGATATCCACTGTACTAAAGTTGTACAGATACATTGTATGGACCAAACTAAGTGTTTGTAATCTGTGCAGGTCAGATAATGCAAGACTTATTCTGATCCATTGTTTGCTTAGGTTCTGCCCATATTGTGATGATGAAAACACATTTAGTTAGGATATAAACCTGAAAAATATTCGATTTTCCTCTGGTTTCACCCATACTCTTGGATAATAAACTGTGTGTACCTGGATAACAGAAGTAGTGACCTTTTGACCTCGGTGAATATATGGATAAAAGAGGACCACTGACCTCACTGTACTTGTATAACAGCAGTATTAATTTCTATTCTATCATTGACCATAGAGAAGTGTGCCCAACTTCTGTGCATGGATGTTGCATTATATCTGTCTTGAACCTGTAAGATTGTCCTGATAATCATATTTACTAAACTCTGTTTGTTAAGTTAACTAGTTTTCTGGTATTTTCTGGTTTATTTTGCATAAGGCATCTGGAAAATAATTTGATTATGTAAGATATCTTAAAAAATGTCAAATAATAAGTAAGATATCTTAAATACTGTCAAATAAACAGAAAAAAATAAGATATTGGTTCCTTGTTTGTAGGAATATAATTATCATACCTAACACAACATAATTAGTATCTCACATATTCATCTATAAGGGATCTAGGACTATAGAATGTTATGTTCCACTCTTTTTAAGCTAATTCCTATCAAACTATTTAAGAGAACTACATTTAATCTGAAAAGGGACCTAATTTATGAAATATGCCTCACTAATATATTTCATGTTTCTACTCTTTCAGATCAAGACCATTATAAATAAGTACAAACTGAATTCCACTTATGTTAACGATAATTGAGTCTGTTATGACAATTGTTGATGTTTACTGGACGATTGTTGTTGTAGAACCAATTCTGATTCTGCCCTCCACACCAGTGCCATGACTCAGTTAGGGGACCTAGGAGACCACATGCATGGTGCTACCACACCCCCTGTAAACCGCCGGCGTAAGTACTCAATCGTGATCTCCCAACACCCTGTCAACCAATTCAGCTGTCAGTATTGTACCTCCCATTCAACACCCTGTCAACCAATTCAGCTGTTATGACTGGTACCTCCCACCCCCCTGTCAACCAATTCAGCTGTTATGACTGGTCCCACCCAACACCCTGTCAACCAATTCAGCTGTCAGTATTGTCCCTCCCATTCAACACCCTGTCAACCAATTCAGCTGTTATGTCTGGTACCTCCCAACACCCTGTCAACCAATTCAGCTGTCAGTATTGTACCTCCCATTCAACTCCCTGTCAACCAATTCAGCTGTTATGACTGGTTCCTCCCAACCCCCTGTCAGCCCTTTGATCTGTAATGTCGGGGACCTCCCAACACCCTGTCAGCCAATTCAGCTGTTTTGACTGGTACCTCACAACACCCTGTCAGCTAATTTAGCTGGCATGACCAGTATCTCCCAACACCCTGTCAGCCAATTCAGCTGTTATGACTGGTACCTCCCAACACCCTGTCAGCTAATTCAGCTGTTATGACGGGTACCTCCCAACACCCTGTCAGCCATTTGATCTGTAATGTCGGGTACCTCCCACCACCCTGTCAGCTAATTCAGCTGTTATGACTGGTACCTCCCAACACCCTGTCATCTAATTCAGCTGTTATGACTGGTACCTCCCAACACCCTATGATGACTGGTTCCTCCCAACACCCTGTCAGCTAATTCAGCTGTTGTGACTGGTTCCTCCCAACACCCTGTCAGCCAATTGAGCTGTTATGATGACTGGTTCCTCCCAACACCTTGTCAGCCAATTCAGCTGTTATGACTGGTACCTCCCAACACCCCAGTTCCTCCCAACACCCTGTCAGCTAATTCAGCTGTTATTACTGGTACCTCCCAACACCCTGTCAGCCATTTGATCTGTAATGTCGGGAACCTCCCAACACCCTGTCAGCTAATTCAGCTGCTATGACTGGTACCTCCCCACACCCTGTCAGCCAATTCAGCTGTTATGATTACTGGTTCCTCCCAACACCCTGTCAGCCAATTAAGCTGTTATGATGACTGGTTCCTCCCAACGCCCTGTCAGCCAATTCAGCTGTTATGACTGGGACCTCCCAACACCCTGTCAGCTAATTCAGCTGGCATGACCAGTTCCTCCCAACACCTTGTCAGCCATTTGATCTGTAATGTCGGGGACCTCCCAACACCCTGTCAGCTAATTCAGCTGTTATAACTGGTCCCTCCCAACACCCTGTCAGCTAATTCAGCTGGCATGACCAGTTCCTCCCAACACCCTGTCAGCTAATTCAGCTGCTATGACTGGTACCTCCCCACACCCTGTCAGCCAATTCAGCTGTTATGTTATGACTGGTACCTCCCAACATTTGATCTGTAATGTCGGGTACCTCCCAACACCCTGTCAGCCAATTAAGCTGTTATGATGACTGGTTCCTCCCAACGCCCTGTCAGCCAATTCAGCTGTTATGATGACTGGTTCGTCCCGACACCCTGTCAGCCAATTCAGCTGTTATGATTACTGGTTCGTCCCAACTCCCTGTCAGCCAATTCAGCTGTTATGACTGGTTCCTTCCAACACCCTGTCAGCTAATTCAGCTGTTATAACTGGTACCTCCCAACACCCTGTCAGCTAATTCAGCTGGTATGACTGGTACCTCCCAACACCCTGTCAGCCAATTCAGCTGCTATGACTGCTTCTTACCAAAACCCTGTCAGCTAATTTAGCTGGCATGACCTGTACCTCCCAACACCCTGTCAGCTAATTCAGCTGGTATGACTGGTACCTCCCAACACCCTGTCATCTAATTCAGCTGTTATGACTGGTACCTCCCCACACCCTGTCAGCCAATTCAGCTGTTATGATTACTGGTTCGTCCCAACTCCCTGTCAGCCAATTCAGCTGTTATGACTGGGACCTCCCAACACCCTGTCAGCTAATTCAGCTGTTATGACTGGTTCCTTCCAACACCTTGTCAGCTAATTCAGCTGTTATGACTGGTACCTCCCAACACCCTGTCAACCAATTCAGCTGTTATGACTGGTACCTCCCAACGCCCTGTCAGCTAATTCAGCTGTTATGACTGGTACCTCCCAACCCCCTGTCAGCTAATTCAGCTGTTATGACTGGTTCCTCCCAACACCCTGTCAGCTAACTCAGCTGCTATGACTGGTTCTTCCCAACACCCTGTCAGCTAATTCAGCTGTTATGACTGGTACCTCCCAACCCCCTGTCAGCTAATTCAGCTGTTATGACTGGGACCTCCCAACACCCTGTCAGCCAATTCAGCTGTTTTGACTGGTACCTCCCAACACCCTGTCAGCTAATTTAGCTGTTATGACTGGTACCTCCCAACACCCTGTCAGCTAATTCAGCTGGCATGGCCAGTTCCTCCCAACAACCTGTCAGCTAATTCAGCTGTTATGACTGGTACCTCCCAACACCCTGTCAGCCAATTCAGCTGTTTTGACTGGTACCTCACAACACCCTGTCAGCTAATTTAGCTGGCATGACCTGTACCTCCCAACACCCTGTCAGCTAATTCAGCTGTTGTGACTGGTACCTCCCAACACCCTGTCAGCCATTTCATCTGTAATGTCGGGTACGTCCCAACACCCTGTCAGCTAATTTAGCTGGCATGACCAGTTCCTCCCAACACCCTGTCAGCCAATTCAGCTGCTATGACTGGTACCTCCCAACACCCTGTCAGCCAATTCAGCTGTTTTGACTGGTACCTCACAACACCCTGTCAACTAATTCAGCTGTTATGACTGGTACCTCCCAACGCCCTGTCAGCCATTTCATCTGTAATGTCGGGTACGTCCCAACACCCGGTCAGCTAATTTAGCTGGCATGACCAGTAGCTCCCAACCCCCTGTCAGCCAATTCAGCTGTTATGACTGGAACCTCACAACCCCCTGTCAGCTAATTCAGCTGTTGTGACTGGTACCTACCAACACCCTGTCAGCTAATTCAGCTGTTATGACTGGTACCTCCCAACACCCTGTCAGCCATTTCATCTGTAATGTCGAGTACGTCCCAACACCCTGTCAGCTAATTTAGCTGGCATGACCAGTATCTCCCAACCCCCTGTCAGCCAATTCAGCTGTTATGACTGGTACCTCCCAACACCCTGTCAGCTAGTTCAGCTGTTATGACTGGTACCTCCCAACACCCTGTCAGCTAATTCAGCTGGCATCACTAGTTCCTCCCAACACCCTGTCAGCCAATTCAGCTGTTATGACCAGTTCATCCCAACACCCTGTCAGCCAACAACTGTCATTATAATCCCAAACTCTCATCCCCCCCCCCCCCCCCCCCCCCCCCCCCTCTCCCTAACTCTCTGTCAAACAAAAATTGTATGTCTGACCTGTCATACCCCCAAACCCTGTCAAAATATCAACTGTCTGACCTTTCTGACCCTCTCAGGTACTGAACTGTCATTGTCATGACCCCACCCTCAACTCTATGACAACCAAAACAAAATTGCACATCTGACCTATCATTACCCCCCAACCCTGTCAAAATATCAACTGCCTGACCTTCTGACCACCTCGACTAACAACTCCACACAAATATCTTGGGAGATCATGTATGATGAAATTAGATATTCTCATGTATTCTTTCTTTCTTTGCCTAGTTATGGAAGTAGCTGGTGAAAACTCAATGCAGGGGGGACAACTCATGAAAGAATTTTGGGACCCCAAAAAGGTTTGTTATATTTGCTTCTACTATACACTTTAATGGCAAATAGAGACAATTATTATGAGTTCTTTACTAAATCAAATTTCTTCTAAAATTAAGAAAGATTAAGGTCATCACTTACGTTATATTCTTTCATTTAGTTTGTTAATATTTCAAGCAGATATTGTATGAAATGTTTACTTTGTGACTACTGAGCAATGTCTGAACATTTCACTATTGACAGCTCATCTGATAAAATCCTTCATATCAGAAATATGAGTTTCCGGAATATTATGGAACAAAATTACAGTGTTTATATTTATTGCCCCACCACATTGTGGAATTTGAAGGGGCTGCCATTTTTATCTGGTCGTCTATATGACGTCTTTGGTTGGTAAAATTTTATGTTCAGCTCTTTTAATATTACACTCAAATTAGACATTCGACAGTCAAAAAAGTCTATTCGCGGATACATTTGGAGGAATATTGTGTACAAACCAATATATCAAATGTAGGTCACTGTCATCTTTATTTTATCCTACAGAATTTTATTTGTCCATTTGTCCATTGTTTCAGCTGGTGGCACAGTCACGGCCTAAATCTTGTGAGGTTCCCAATATCAAGTAAGTGGTTCTCATCCAATAGGTTTGCACATCCAAGTCATTGGCCATTTTGTTTGATAGCTTTTGTAGCAGTTGCAGGCGCCCTGCAGACAGATTTTTTATGTTCATTAATATAATATGCCAGACCTTTGGGATAAAAAAAACATTTACCTAAAAATGTATTGATATTATAACTTTTGTTTCATGGGTACTGCTTACATGGTCCAGAAGAAAACATAATATCCTGGATTTATTTTAAATTTATTTCCTGTATTTTGTATGACTATAGCTTTCAGTGGTACCAAACAACAGTAAATATCCTGAATTTATTATAAATGTATTCCATGTATTTTGTATGGCTATAGCTTTCAGTGGTACCAAACAACAGTAAATATCCTGTATTTATTATAAATGTATTCCATGTATTTTGTAATGCAGTATATATCCATCAACGGAGCAGGAAAGCCAGGGACAAAGTATTCATGTTCCTATCACTAACAACACTGGCTCACTGCCCGATCTGACCGTGCTTCACTTCCCACCCCCACTGGCTACACCCCTGGACGCAGAAGACCAGTCGTACCCAGTAGGGCAGCAACCCTCAGGCTCTGCCACTGCCAACCTGTCTCCCACCAGTGCTCACAGACTCGGGGGCATGGGCCCTCCTAGCCCTCAGGCTCAGAGCCCGGTACAGCGACGCAGGCTGCAGCATGGTGGCCCAAGCCCCCTCGTACTCAGTGGTGCTCCCGCACAACAGATGAGGATGTCTCACTCCACGCCCGATAGTGTAAGTCGCTGCTGCCTACCTCCCTTGGAAAACCCAAATCTCTGTTGTCATGGAAACAAAGTACCACATCCTGTGTTTTGGACCTCACATTAACATCACAAGAGAAAGACAAAATGTTGAAAGATAAAGTCCCTTCTCTCATTACAATTAAACCCAAGAAAAATTATAGTCACACAAAAATCATTTTTGGACAACTACCATAAAATTCATCAATGATTACCTCCCTTTAGTTATCATATATGATATCCAGGGTAGATATATCTTTTTATTCTGGCCCTATCCAATAAAATTTATAGAACTTACAAGTTACCAATGAAAACAGAACCTGTTATTTTGATTTGGATTGTTAATAGTTTCTGAATGGAAGTTTCTGGAAATTTTTCTTTGCAAGTGGTACAACTTATATCTGTTCCATATTTCCTTTTTAAAGCGAGAAGTGATACCCCAACTCACAGAAAGTGATGCTTTGGTTCTAGTGGTGCTCAGTAGTAGCTGATAAAATATTTGATTTCTTGTTTGATAATGCATGGCTTTATTTTAATGTAACAGCTGGATAAACAAATTCTTTCAATAATCATTCAGAATTCATTTGAACTTTAATAAATGATGTATATCTATATCTATGACCGAAATTAAAAATGTTTTAGATATAAAAAGAACTTCATTTTAAATATTTGAAAACTTTTTATCCAATTGGTTGGTTTAGGAAAAAAGATAAATTCAAATTTGAAGTGATGAAATCTAGCTGTTTTAAACCTTGCATGTTCATCCCATGCTCCGTTTCCGATTTCATTGTGCCATTTGTGAGGATATTAGTGGTAGCTTTAGGTGTGAATGTTTGATTCTTTAGTTGATCAATTCACACGATAAATTGTCAAACCACAAATCGAAGCTGATCGAGATAATGTATAGAGGATCTGAATTGCAATGTTTTTATTTGGACAGTATAAGCTTTGAACTTAGCTCAGTTATGAAGGAAAAAAAATAATGTGTGCAGTAATTAAATTAAAAAAAAAGATATTTAGACTTAATGCTGCGGATAACAACTTACTCAAACGAACCCTATTGCTACAATTCTCGATTCTGAAGTTGCCATTGAGATACAGAAATTTAAGAAAATGGGGAATCATCAGTTATCAGTTTGTAAAATTTGAGAAGCTACTAGGTCCATATGCTATAAAGAAAGTAGCTTTCCAAGTACATGTATATGTAAGACAGGTAAAAAAATCTAGATGTGACATGAATCTGCTTAATTCTAAATAAAAATATAATGACAGTAATATGGTTTTTATGCTTTTTGGTAATTTGGACTTTTTTCGTAATAAAGAAAATTGTTCAAATTAATGAGATATATTATTAAAGCTTTAAAATAAATGAGGAGGAGGAGGATGTTATAATTGGTTGGGGGGGGGGGGGGGGCACCTATCAGAGGTAGCGATAGTGGTTATTGGGCCTAGATTAGTCAATTAAAAATTATAAAAAAATATCTTATTTATCTTTCTTCAAGAGCTTCAAAGTATTTCAAAGCTGATAGTTTGTTTGAAAATGTGTTTATGCTGGAGAACAGATATCAAACTTTCATTTGAAATTAAAACTTTTGTAGTATGATTTTGGGACAGAATTAAACGGTACATATACATGTGTTAATTAATAATCATGAAAACTGCAAAACTGGCTATCAGAATTGGCCCATAGCTAATGAATGTATTGCTGTGCATGGTCAACAGGAGACATGTCTGATCTTATGATAAATAAGTGACAATACCAAGTTATATACCATATTTCAAGTTCAGCAGGTTTCATATGCAGAAATGTTTATCAGTGGTTAACGTATTTGTAACATTCCTCATTGAGTTTGATGTTAAGCCATCAGTGACAAGTACATTTGTTATGCACCCGTCATAAAATGGGGGGGGGGGGCATATAATGTTGCCCATGTCCGTCCCATCCCGTCGCGGCATCACGTCCTGTCCCATCCATGACATTTTCTAGTTACATTCCGTGTTGAGTTTGATGTTTAGCCATCAGTGATAAGTACATTTGTAACGTAACATTCCTCTTTGAGTTTGATGTTTAGCCATTAATGATAAGTACATTTGTTGTAACATTCTTCATTGAGTTTGATCTTTCGCCATCAATGTAAGTACATTTGTAACATTCCTCTTTGAGTTTGTTGTTTAGCCATCAGTGATAAGTACACTTGTAAAATTCCTCTTTGAGTTTGATGTTTAGCCATCAGTGGTAAAGCATTAGTAACATTCCTTGTTGATTTTGGTGTTTAAACCCTGTAAAAGTAAAGTGTTTGTCTTGCATGCTCAATCAAATACTGAATTGTTCAGACTTTACTCAAATCGAAATATCGTTTCTTAAATGTCATGGGGACATCTGAAGATATGTCAGATTATGAAGAAATAGGAACCACTTATTGAAAGTTTAAGTTTGAGATGAATTTATCACATGTGATTACATATGTCAATCCAGTAAGGGTGGGGGAAATGGGAATCAGGAATAAGGGGTATCATCAGGATATGTGTTTCATGTTCACTTTTTTTGCAGTACAGTGTATTGCAAATTGCAACATTACAATGTTATGATGCAATGATTTGCACTTACATTTATGTTCACTATATATCTGACCTGTCAAAATATATAAATTAGCAACCCCAAAGATTTGTGGCCCCTCTGATATGTATGTACTCGTTAGAAATATTGGCAGTCTTTTAAATTTGCTCAAAGAACAAAAAACATTAAAATTCAACTCACTGAAACTACTACAATATACAGTATGTGACTGATGTTGACTGTGTGACGATGTAAAACAAATTCCGTTTAGAGCTCTGGTAGTCTGTGTTGTATTTGATTGAGTGGAGACGACAACTGCTTTTTCTATTGTTTACATAGCATCCTTTCTGTTGTACTGTACATAGTTGTGTGTATTATTTTTTATTTTTACAATGTTTAGGTTCCAAATCCCGACCCCAGTAAGCTCTCTTTGGACCCTCGGTTAAAACAACAGTATCTGTTATACTTACACCAGCAACAGCAGCAGCGGCAACGAGGGGGACACACCCGTCCCCCTGCCCCCACCAACAATAACCTGCGACAGGTGCCTCAGGTCCATATCACTTCCGCATGTGACCAAAATAATTCTCAGGTACAGGTAACAACTAACAGGATTGGTACTGGTGTATATTTAATCACTTCCGCATGAATTAAATCTTGGGTACAGGAAGCTACTAACAAGATATACTACAGGATTATGAAGACTAACATTTCTGTCATGGTGATGCTTGAACAGGTATAACATTTACACCAGCGAGGCAAGAACCACCTCTGCACTGATTTCAGAAGCACCGAAACACATTCCATCTCCTTATAGGAATAACACTTCATTAATCCACTATCTTACAGAAATAAAGTGTAACCTTTTCCTTTTCCACTTTCATACAAGAATGTGGCAAATCGTTCCACATTCCACATCCTAACTGGAAGAAGACATACTATTCCACATCCTTATAGGACTAAGACAAATAATTCCACATCCTTTTAGGACGAAGACAAATAATTCCACATCCTTTTAGGACTAAGACAAATCATTCCACATCCTTATAGGGTTAAGACAAATCATTCCACATCCTTTAAGGATTAAGACAAATTATTCTCTTACCCTGGATAGGTGTATCCACACTTTTACCGGTGTGAGATTTCCTTGTCTCACCCTAGGGTTGGGATGGGGGGATTCCCCTATTTATAACAATGGCATGACGTCACTTCAACAATACAATGACGTCACGTCAACAATCCATCAACGTCATGTCAACCCTGAATTTAGCATGTAATGTTATCATTACATTGTGTATATGATACACAAAGGGAGAACGGGGTAAGTGAAAAAGAATCATTCACCCCCTTGTGGGTAAGATAGGGGAATCTCAACCCTCGGGGAAAGATTCCCCTATCTCACCCACAAGGGGGTGAAAGATTCTATTATTCTCACATTCTTCACAGGGTGATCCCGCTGTTGCTAGAGAAAAGATAACTCTATTTTACACGGGGTAGGGAAAGACAGCTGACACGCACTATGATATCATATTAATGAATTGTCAACGTGACGTCATTTTATTGTGTCCGTGATGTCATACAACTGTTGTGAATTCGGAATCATCCATCTCAACCCTAGGGCTTTGGGGTTTGCCGGAAAAATAAGATCGACGTTTATTTCGACTGGAATTTGTTTATTTGTTTGTATGTGAGACTCAACCCTCGGGCAAGAGTTTGGCTTGCCAGCCAAACCCTTACACTCGAAGTTGGGATATCTCCGTCCACGGGACAGACCCATTTAAGATTCTATGATTCCACATCCTTATAGGATTAAGACAAATCATTCCACATTCTTATAATAGAATCAATCCCCCTCCCCACCAACCCTTACAAAGTAAAATTAATCCCCACTCCCCTACCACCTTTACAGGAGTAAAATAAATCCCTCCCTCCCCACCCTCCCTTACTGGAGTAGAATTAATCCCGCCACCCCACCCAAATTTACAGGAGAAGAATTAATCCCCCTTCCCCACCTACCTTTACTGGGGTAGACTCAATCCCCCCTCTCCATCCTTGACTGGATTGTAAATTAATCACCCTTTTCCGCCGAGACTTACTGGAGTAGAATTAATGCCCTCTCCCCAAACGCCCTTACTGGAGTAGACTCAATCCCCCCTCTCCATCCTTGACTGGATTGTAAATTAATCACCCTTTTCCGCCGAGACTTACTGGAGTAGAATTAATGCCCCCCCCCCCCCCACCTTTACTGGAGTAGAATTAACCCCGCCTCCCCACCCAAATTTACAGGAGTAGAATTAATCCCCTCCCCACCTACCCTTACAAATGTAGAGGTAATCCTCCCTCTCCTCCAACCCGTACTGGAGTAGAATCGCCCCACCCCCCTCCCTATTACCCTAACAGGAGTAGAATTAATGCCCCCATCCCCAACACCCTTACAGGAGTAGAATTAATGCCCCCTCCCAACCCACATTTACTGGAGTAGAATCAATCCCTCCTCTCCTCCCACCCTTACAGGAGTAGAATTAATCCCCTCCCCACCTACCCTTACAAATGTAGAGGTAATCCTCCCTCTCCTCCAACCCGTACTGGAGTAGAATCGCCCCACCCCCCTCCCTATTACCCTAACAGGAGGAGAATTAATGCCCCCTCCCAACCCACATTTACTGGAGTAGAATCAATCCCTCCTCTCCTCCCACCCTTACAGGAGTAGAATTAATCCCCTCCCCACCTACCCTTACAAATGTAGAGGTAATCCTCCCTCTCCTCCAACCCGTACTGGAGTAGAATCGCCCCACCCCCCTCCCTATTACCCTAACAGGAGTAGAATTAATGCCCCCATCCCCAACACCCTTACAGGAGTAGAATTAATCCCCTCCCCACCTACCCTTACAAATGTAGAGGTAATCCTCCCTCTCCTCCAACCCTTACTGGAGTAGAATCGCCCCACCCCCCTCCCTATTACCCTAACAGGAGGAGAATTAATGCCCCCTCCCAACCCACATTTACTGGAGTAGAATCAATCCCTCCTCTCCTCCCACCCTTACAGGAGTAGAATTAATGCCCCCATCCCCAACACCCTTACAGGAGTAGAATTAATGCCCCCATCCCCAACACCCTTACAGGAGTAGAATTAATCCCCTCCCCACCTACCCTTACAAATGTAGAGGTAATCCTCCCTCTCCTCCAACCCGTACTGGAGTAGAATCGCCCCACCCCCCTCCCTATTACCCTAACAGGAGGAGAATTAATGCCCCCTCCCAACCCACATTTACTGGAGTAGAATCAATCCCTCCTCTCCTCCCACCCTTACAGGAGTAGAATTAATGCCCCCTCCCCACCCACCTTTACTGGAGTAGAATTAATCCCCCCTCCCCACCCAAATTTACAGGAGTAGAATTAATCCCCCTTCCCCACCTACCTTTACTGGAGTAGACTCAATCCCCCCTCTCCAACCTTGACTGGATTGGAAATTAATCACCCTTTTCCGCCGAGACTTACTGGAGTAGAATTAATGCCCTCTCCCCAAACGCCCTTACTGGAGTAGACTCAATCCCCACTCCCCACCCCGCCTTGCAGGCGTAGAATTGATCCCCCTCCCCACCGTCCTTGACTGGAGTAGAATTAATCCCCCTTCCCACCCACTTTTAAAGAATTACGATTAATCACCCCCTCCCCACCCAACTTTACTGGAGTAGAATTAATCCCCCCTCTACTTCCACCTTTACTGAAGTATAATTAATCCCCCCTGCCCACCTGCCTTTACTGGAGTACAATTAATCCCCCCTCCCCACCCACCTTTACTGGAGTANCCCACCAAACTTTACTGGAGTAGAATTAATCCCCCATCCCCACCTACCTTGACTGGAGTAAAATTAATCCCCTCTCCCACCTAATTTTACTGGAGTTGAATTAATCCCCCCTACCCACCCAATTTTACTGGAGTAGAATTAGCCACCCCTCCCCACCCACCTTTACTGGAGTATTATTAATCCCCCCTCCCCACCCACCTTTACTAGAGTGGAATTAATCCCCCCTCCCCACCCACCTTTACTAGAGTAGAATTAATCCCCCATCCCCACCCACCTTTAAAGGAGTAAGACTGTTCTCTGTACATCCTTACATCAGTAAGACTACTATAATCAAACCTATTTATTTCTTAGGGTTTAGCTATTTCTGGGATAAAAGGTGCTCATTTATGACCTTATCCATCTGTCAAAGTCGGCGATTAAGGCCCTTTGGCCTGGTCAAGGTCTGAATAAAATTAGATCAGTGATATACATGAACGGGGTATTAACAATCTGCTTAGTTACTTTTGTAGCAAAATGTTTCTTCATTAATTTGCATGTATTTATTTTCTGTTTCCTATTGTAGTGAATGACAATGTTATTTTGTGTAAATGTTATTTGTTCTAATGTCAACTTTTTTCTGTCTTCTGCTGAGCAGTAGTGGGTATTTTGTTCATCTTTTTCCTTGTGTCTTGCATTTTAGGGTAGATATGTAAACTGACCTAATATAAGCTTATTATAAAGCTATATACATGTGCAGGTTAGCCTGGAGCAACAAACATCAAGGTTATTGATACACATTTCATTATGAAACTTTAAATGGTTAATTTCATATAATTTGTCCGGTTGATGTACATGTAGGTAGGTATTGACCAGACTTACATCATGAAGAATACTATATTTAACCCTTTCACCACTGTATACCATAACGGTCTCTTCCAGATGAATGTATGATAGAGTCTTCTCAAGTTTCCTAGGGGCAAAAGAGTTAATGTTCTAAGCTTCGAACATTGTGAAAATTCATATTTGTCTTCTCTTTTACCGTTGTCATGTGACTTGTCTCTAGAACAAGTCACATGACAACGGGAAATGTAAATTACCTGCACGGCAAATTTACCTTTTTGTAGTCATAGTGATCACATTAACATGGTTAGATACATTTAACATATATAATATATATGTTCATAACTGAGCTATCGGCTTTTAAGAATTGTTCTTGTTAATTGTTCCAAGTACTGTACGAATAGACATAGCATGCCAGTCTAGGTCCTCAAGGGAGAGAATCATCTATATAACACTTTAATAGGGTTTCGAACTACAATGAAATCTGAAATTTTAAGTTCTTGAACTTCAAAGATTCCTTTTAATTATTATTAGCTCACCTGGCCCTTGGCCATGTGAGCTTATACCGTACTGCTGCGTCCGTCGTCTGTTCGTCAATTTCTTTTTTGAACAACTTCTTCTAAAGAACTGGAGGACCTTGGGTCATGATATTTGGCCAGTAGGTACCTGGGATGGAGTGCTATAACATTTCCTCATTAAAATGACCCTGGCCTAGTTTCAAGGTCACAGGGGTCAAATATGTTAAAAATTTCAAACAACAACATCCTAAGGACCATTTGGACTAATACTTTGGTATGTTATATGTAGACCAGCAGTGCAAATATTTTTCTCTGTCAACTTTAAGTGCTAGTCGAGGGTCAAAGGTTAAACACTTGAACAATGTTCTTTTCAAGTTCCAAAAGGCCCAGTGTCATGATATTTGGCCAGCAGGTACCTGGGATGGTATGCTATCAAGCTTCCTCATTAAAATGACCTTGACCTTCTTTCAAGGTCACAAGGGTCAAATATGTTAAAAACTATATTTTAAGAACCATTTGGTCTAGAGTCATGATACTAGGGTATGTTATGTAGACCAGCTGTGTGGAATGCGTTCCTTATTACAGTAATGAGGTCAAAGACCAACTTTAAGTGCTAGCCAGAGTCAAATGTCAACCTGGTACTGGGTTAAAGCTTTTGAATTAAAATTTTATCAAATTTCAAACAACAGTATCTTAAGAACCATTTAAAAGATGTTAGAATACCCTGTGTTCTAGTTACCAAATTTGGTCTGAAGTTACCTATATGTCAGTTTCATGTAACAAAAGAAACAGGTGCGTGATACAGGCCCTCTGGGTCTTTTGTATTATTTCATCCATTGGAAGCTTTATTAGCTCACCTGGTCCATAGGACCAAGGTGAGCTTATGCCATACCGTGTCGTCCGTCGTCCATCCGTACGTCAACAATTTCTTTTAAACGACTTCTTATTCTTAATCACTGATTGGAATTCAACTAAATTTGACTGGAAGCATCCCTAGGTGGTGGGGATTTAAAATTGTACAAATGGTGGGGTGACCCCCCAGGGGGCTGATGGGGCAGGACCAAAAAGGGTCCAAAGGGAAATGGTTGAGATCCCCACCGTATAACCATATATACAATTGCTGAATGTAAAGAGAAGAATGCACATTTGCTTCTATGATGGCCCTAGGGTCTGACCCCACCCTTGCAAACTTAACCCCCGGGTTATAACTTCGAAACGGTTGAGATCCTCACCCCAAAACTATATATACAAATGCATGGTATTAAGAGACGAATGTAGTCATGATATAACTAGAATAGACCCTGGGGTCTGACCGAACCCATACGGACCTAGTTTCTTAGTCACAGCTTTGAAACAGTTGAGATCCCCACCCTATAACCATATATACAATTACTGAGTATAAAGAGATGAATGCACATATGCTTCCAGGATGGCCTTGGGATCTGTCCCACCCTTGGAGACTTAACCCCTGGGTCATAACTTCGAAATGATTAAGATCCCCACCCCAAAACTATATATATCATTATTGGGCATAAAGAGACGACTGGGGCATAAAGAGATGAATGCAGTCATGATATTAGAATTGACCCCAGGGTCTGCCCCACCCTTGCAAAGGTAACCCTTGGGTCATAACTTTGAAATGGTTGAGATCCCCACCCCAAGCTATAAATATAAATGCTGGGCAAAAAGAGACAAATGCAGTCATGATATTAGAATTGATCCTGGGGTCTGGCCATAATCCTAGGGACCTAGTTTCTGAGTCAAAGTTTGGAAACGGTTGAAATCCCCGGCCCATAACCATACATTACATTGCTGGGCATGAAAAATCTTAATACAGATACGCTACATGGATTGGCCTTGGGGTCTGGCATATTCCCTTGGATCTCATTTGGAGAATATTTTGCCATGATTGCTTGGATATCCAGGTGAGCGATACAGGCCCTCTGGGCCTCTTGTTGAATCTTTTTGAAAAAATCATGATTTCCATTTGTTTTAAGAGAAGCCCTACTTAGCTGATTTATGTGAGACACAGTACAAGTATTGACAGAGTATGAACTGGCAGCACTAGCAGAGGTGAAGGCTTGCCCTATTCGTTTAGTCTGTTGGGGTGCATTTCTTTGTCCAGGGCATAGCTTGTATACTCTGTCAGTTGCAATTAATATCGTACGAGAGTCGTACCCCTTAGATGGCAGAGTGGCACTAACTTAAATCAAATATCATGCCCAACTAGGTACAATGTACAAGGTTACGTCCAGAGTATCCAGAGATGAGGAACTATAGATACATGTAGCTTGCAATACTTTGCCTTGTTACGACCATTTATTGATGTCGACATAAAGTCTGTCTGGATGGTACCATAATGTCATTGTTGTACTATTTACAGCCATCATTAACACAGTACCGGAATAACGTGTCAGAGTCCAATTGTCAGTCACCCACATCTCCCCTGTCACAGACGTCTCACTCCCCGGCACAGTCACCCGGCCTGCCCCCCACCTCCTGGAACAACTCACCATTCGCAGAGAACTACCAGCATCAGCAGCAGCAGCAACAGACCAGTGCACTTCAGCACCAGTTTGAACAATTCAATATGGTAAGTGAATGTGAAAATATATTTAGATATGTTAATTTAAAAAGTTGATATGGTAAATCATAGTGCAATTTCAATAGGGTAAGTTTATTTGAAAATTTGATATGGTATTCAGTTGCAAAAATTCAATAGGGTAATTTGAAAATCTATAAGGATAGGTTAATTTGAAAATGCAATATGGTACCAGGGGAAGGGGAATCTGAAAAACAAACAATTGAGATGATTGTGAGAATTCTATGTGGTAGGTAAGCTTAAAAAAATCCTTCGGGGGGTGGGAGATCCAACGTCCGTGCAAAGAGTTCAGCTAAGTTCTGTGTTACCTAGCAGATTGATTCCACAGGAAAAACAGGAGTTAGAAGTAGAGTTATCAGTAGGTAAAGATGACAATGACAGCATCGTGCTGGGTTTACAGGAGTCTGGCGTTAGAGGTAGAGTTATCAATAAGTAAAGATGACAATGACAATGTCGTGCTGGGTTTACAGGAGTCCGGCGTTAGATAGGAACAGTTATCAATAGGTAAAGATAAGAATGACAGCGTCGTGCTGGGTTTACAGGAATCCGGCGTTAGAAGTAGAGTTATCAATAGGTAAAGGTGACAATGACAGCGTCGTGCTGGGTTTACAGGAGTCCAGCGTTAGAAGTAGAGTTATCAATAGGTAAAGATGACAATGACAGCGTCATGCTGGGTTTACAGGAGTTCGGCGTTAGAAGTAGAGATATAGATAGGTAAAGATGACAATGACAGGGTCGTGCTGGGTTTACAGGAGTCGGGCGTTAGAAGTAGAGATATAGATAGGTAAAGATGACAATGACAGCGTCGTGCTGGGTTTACAGGAGTCCGGCGTTAGAAGTAGAGATATAGATAGGTAAAGATGACAATGACAGGGTCGTGCTGGGTTTACAGGAGTCGGGCGTTAGAAGTAGAGATATAGATAGGTAAAGATGACAATGACAGCGTCGTGCTGGGTTTACAGGAGTCCGGCGTTAGAAGTAGAGATATAGATAGGTAAAGATGACAATGACAGGGTCGTGCTGGGTTTACAGGAGTCGGGCGTTAGAAGTAGAGATATAGATAGGTAAAGATGACAATGACAGCGTCGTGCTGGGTTTACAGGAGTCCGGCGTTAGAAGTAGAGATATAGATAGGTAAAGATGACAATGACAGGGTCGTGCTGGGTTTACAGGAGTCGGGCGTTAGAAGTAGAGATATAGATAGGTAAAGATGACAATGACAGCGTCGTGCTGGGTTTACAGGAGTCTGGCGTTAGAAGTAGAGTTATCAATAGGTAAAGATGACAATGACAGCATCGTGCTGGGTTTACAGGAGATGACAATATGAGCGTTGTGCTGGGTTTACAGGAGTCGAGCGTTAGAAGTAGAGTTATCAATAGGTAAAGATGACAATGACAACGTCATGCTGGGTTTAATGGCTTTAAACACAATTTTGTCCACTAGTTTCAACAGGTTCTGATGATGACAGATCTAATGTGTTGAAACTAGTAAACCCCGCACATAATCGTCATGATCATCTTTAACAAATTAAAAAAAGTAGTAGGTGAATATGACATTTCAGTAGTAACACAGCTGATTTTAATATGAAGAGCTTAGTGGTGCAAGTATTTGGATATCAATTAGCTACCAGTTCCAATAAAATATCTGTTGTAATTAATAGGTTTTCAGGGACCAAACATTGATCTGTAGCCTTATAAAAATTATTCTTTCCTACAAATGTAAAATCTTATTTGAAAAGTATATTTTTTTTAGAGAGAGAGAGAGAGTGATAATAAAAAAAGAAGTATTACAAGAAATTGGAATTATCTAAATTATTTGACAAGCTGTATTATCAGATAATAATTTGTCATGGATGAGCACATGTTGTTTATCACGACTGGATATTGTTTGATATGTGGGATTAAACAGTTAGCTAACTATTTTCTGTAACCTTGAAATTTCAGTCACAAGACAACCACTTCATCATATCATCGTCATCCGATTCCTCACTGTTGACCAATGGAGCAACGAGCAGTGCTATTTACACGTCTCCCCAGAACACGCCAATAAACTTTTCACAGGCTATGACCCACGGCCTGACGGGCAGCAATCAGGACCTTCATCAACAGTACTTTCCACAACAATTGGACTTAGAACGAATTTCTCAAAAGTGTGTAGTGAATCCTGCTGGGCAATACCAGCATCTTCAGCAGCAACAAAATCTTTTACAACAACAACAACAGCAACAGCAACAGCAACAACAACAGCAGCAACAGCAGCAGCAACATGTGTCGTCGGGCGGTAAAATACCAGATATCATATTCACAGGTATCAACTCTTACTTGTTTCAAGGTACCAACATTTCATTACAATTCTTCTTTCTCTCATTGCTTCCTTTTGTGGTGTTTGTAATAAATCTCTTGCTTAAAAAGTGTTTTCTTGTTAGTGATAGTTTAATTGGAACGCAACATATATACAAAATAACATTAACCGCAGGACGATTATTATCAGGTGCTAAATCATCACATAAATAATACAATAAAACAATATGTTGATGTGTTTCCTGTAGGTGCAGTGCCAGCCCCCTTTTTAGCTCACCTGGTCCGAAGGACCAAGGTGATCTTATGCCATACCGTGGCGTCCGTCGTCCGTCCGTCCGTCCGTCAACAATTTCTTTAAACGACTTCTTCTTCTTAACCACTGGTTGGAATTAAACTAAATTTGACTGGAAGCATCCCTAGGTGGTGGGGATTCAAAATTGTACAAATGGTGGGGCGGGGCCAAAAGGGGTCAATTTGCCCATATTGCTTTAAGCGACTTCTCTGAAACTAAGAAGTGGATATCAACCATATTTGACTGGAAGCATCCCTAGGTGGTGGTGATTAAAAATTGTACAAATGGTGGGGCTGACTCCCCAGGGGGCTTAGGGGCGGGGCCAAAAGGGGGCAATTTGGCTATATTGCTACAAACGACTTCTTCTGTAGAACTGTGCACTGGATATCAATCATATTTGATCAAAAGCATTCCTGGGAGGCAGGGATTTAAAATTGTACAAATGGTGTGGCTGACCCCCCAGGGGGCTGAGGGGCAGGGCCAAAAAGGGTATTTGGCTATACTGCTTTAAGTGACTTCTTCTCTGGAACTAAGTGATGGATATCAACCTTATTTGACTGGAAGCATCTCTAGGTGGTGGAGATTCAAAATTGTACAAACGGTTGGGCTGACCCCCCAGGGGGCTGAGGGGCGGGGCCAAAAGGGGGCAATTTGGTTATATTGCTATAAATGACTTCTTCTGCAGAACTATGCCATGGATATTGATCATATTTGGTCGGAAGTATTCATGGGAGGCAGGGATTCAAAATTGTACAAATGGTGGGGCTGACCCCCCGGGCTAAGGGGTGGGGCCAATAAAATGTATTACTTGGAAATGGTTGAGATCCCCACCATATAACCATATATACAATTGCTGAGTATAAAGAGAAGAATGCACATTTGCTTCCAGGATGTCCCTAGGGTCTGGCCCCACCCTTGGAGACATAGTCCCTGGGCCATAACTTTAAAACGGTTGAGATCCCCACCCCAAAACTATATATACAAATGCTGGGCATAAAGAGACGAATGCAATCATGATATCAGAATAGACCCTGGGGTCTGACCGAACCCCTAGGGACCTAGTTTCTTAGTCACAGCTTGGAAACAGTTGAGAGCCCCACCCTATAACCGTATATATACAATTGCTGAGTATAAAGAGATGATTGCACATATGCTTCCAGGTTGGCCTTGGGGACTGCCCCACCCTTGGAGACTTAACCCCTGGGTCATAACTTTGAAATGGTTAATATCCCCACCCCGAAACTATATATACAATTGTTGGGCATAAAGAGACGAATGCAGTCATGACATTAGAATTGATCCCAGGGTCTGCCCCACCCTTGCAGACTTGGCCCCTGGGTCATAACTTTGAAACGGTTGAGATCCCCACCAAAACTATATATACAAATGCTTGGCAAAAAGAGACAAATGCAGTCACGATATTATAATCGATCCTGGGGTCTGGCCACAACTCTAGGGACCTAGTTTCTGAGTCATAGCTTGGAAACAGTTGAGATCCCCACCCCATAACAATACATAAAATTGCTGGGCATGAAAAATCTAATATAGCTATGCTACAAGGATTGGCCTTGGGGTCTGGCATATTCCCTTGACCTCATTTGGAGAATAGTTTGCCATGATTGCTTAGGTATCCAGGTGAGCGATATAGGCCCTCTGGGCCTCTTGTTATGTCGAAGCATTCAGTACAAATATGATTTCAGATCAGATTTGGAATGGATGGGAAAAGACCAATTCTTGCAGTGTTAAATTTGCAGTGAACAGATTTGGAAATCAGCAAAATACCACTACCCCAAATCCGGCATGGTTGTCTAGTCACTGTTTCTCTGAATATCAGTTAACAGACGAGATCTTTGTACATTAACTACTGGATCAATAGTTTGGGACTTTTACAATATCTGACCAGAAATTAAAGCCATAGTGAAATGCTCATGTCTTTCTATTAACCTTGCATTTGTCTTTCTACTCATTAATATTTTCTATTTAACAATTTAGATAAAATTCTGTCGAGAGAAGCTTTTCATTCACTTCCATGTAAACTGCTTCCTACAAATGGTAGATCAGAACTGTAAAAACTGCTATCCGTACATTCTACATACTAACTAACAGCAAGCAGCAGATATTTCAGAGAGGTAGCAATTTCTGGTAAAGTGATCATAAAATGTTTGAACAGTTAAAATGGACAGTTTCAAAGTATAAACGGATGAGTATTCCTCTGACAATAGGCAGGGTGTAACTTCCATAATATGCATTATATATGCCTATAGATTATAACTGGACAACCCAAAGATTTAAAAAGGAATGAGTTTTCCATTGTTAGCTAACATACATAACCATGGTTATTTTCTTTGCTTGTATGGATATATGACAGAACACATTTCAGTTGTTGGCTGTTTGATTGAAAAAACAATTTTTTTATTGAGACATTGGGACAGCTGGTGGATGTTTATTAGTATATTTGGTTGGTGTGTTTAAATGAAGCTTTTTATTGGAATGCAAAGTGGGGCAGTTTGTCACCGAATGAAGGTTTCCCTTGGTCTGAAGTTGTGCAGGTTTACTTTTGAGACTGATCATATATACAAAATGGCCAACAGGTGGCCATCTTGAATTTTGACAGTGAATGTTTGTTATCGCTATTTCTCAGGAAGTTCTGGAGGGATATTTTTCAAATATGATATGTAGGTTCCCCTTGGTCTGTTGTTGTGCATGTTTACTTTTGAGACTGATCAGATGAACAAAATGGCCGACAGGTGGCCATCTTGGATTTTGACGGTGAATGTTTGTTATCGCTATTTCCCAGGAAGTTCTGGAGGGATCTTTTTCAAATTTGATATGTAGGTTCTTATGGGTCTTTAGATGTGCATGTTTACTTGGGAGAGGATCATAAAAACAAGATGGCCATAGAAAGTACTAATGAGATCTTCCTGATATTGTAATGATTGGATCTATTTCTCTTACATTTAAAGAACTGTACTAGTAAATATTTGAAATAGTACATTTACTGTTAATATGACTTGATTAAACAGATAAGAGAAAAGAAGAGAAAAGATCAAACTGACATAAACTAATGAAGATGGTACAATAGTGGGCGCCAAGATCCCTCAGTTAAATTGTTTTAGATGTTCATGGATCATAATATTAGTGTATTGCAAAATAAAAGAAACTATTGCCTTGTTGTCTCGTGCTTTGAGTAATAATATAACAATAGTTAATTTAGTCCACCGTGTTTGTTACAATGTTTCTAACCAAGTTATGTGCTTGATTTGCTGCAGGTGTTGATGACAGTTTGATGGTGAAACAGGACTTTGCTAAGGAGATCGGCAATGCCATCACTGGTATGCCGGACGGCTTTGATACAGACTTCTTTACTTCAGACGAGGCTCTCAAAGTCGGCCTTGATCCTTTGGACTTGGATGGCTTACAGATGCTGACAGACCCCAGCATGTTAACAGATCCAGCCACAGAGGAAAGCTTTAAATTGGACAGATTATAGGACTCACTTACTCCATTTAAATCAGCACTTTGCATTTGTGTCTATTCTGTTTTTAACATCTTAGAAATCTAAAAAAAAATGTATTGGTTATGTCTATCGACGCATTTACACTTACCCCAGGATTTGTACTACCCCTTCCCCCCTTGTCTGCCAAGATTGCAGCCTCACCTACTTGCTACCGAGCAGAAGAAAGAACGTATTACTTAGATGGAACTTTTACTTAGTTGGAAATGAGAAGTAGAATGTGAGTCACTGGTTTCATTTTATAATGTATAACACTCCAGATTTAGTAGTGACTACGCCTCTTACAATGCAGTATTTTTGTACTGGTGACATCGTGTAATTGTTCCCCCCTGCATTCATTGGCATTCCTAACTACTTAATGTGTACAAGGCACAATAATGTCGTGGAGAGAGAGAGAAATACTGAGTTCACTCGCAAGATTGTGATATGTAGAAGCTGGTTATTTTGATATTTTTCTGAGAGTTCTATAAGGCGCTGCTGTGTTAGCTGTAGGGCCAATTTTACACAAATTTCTGTTGGTTTTAAAAAAGCATTTACACGCTTCATTTTTTGCCAGATTATAGATAATACTAATTTTTTATTTTTTTTTTATTTTACAAGAATTGGTTCTGATCTTTAGAAAGATGTTTGACACATGTTTTAAGGGAGGGAAAGGGCTGTCAGATTTTGTATTATTCATTTACGATCTCTTTGACACTTTGTCCAAACTGTGCTGTAGAGGTAATGCTATAATTAACAGTGAATGAACACATTCTCCCAATTGCTATCAACATCTGTGAAACATTACAAGGGACATTTGTTAAAATCACAATTCAACTTCTCATGTTGAACAATTTGTTGACACAGTCCAAGGGATATAACTCTTATAGATTTGTCTATTTTGTCAAAAGTTTTCCTCGCATAAAAGTATTACTAAGCGTATATAAGAAACAGCATGGAAAAGAAAACACTCCGGTGTGAAATGAACAATTTTATTTTACATAAATTATTTGACTGCCAATCAAGTATGTTGCAATGTTTTTCCTGGCAATTTCTTCTCGAGACCTGTAAGGTTTGCTTTTAGAAAAAAAGTGATTATTAGCATAACTTGCATAAAATAATTCATGTTTGTTATAGTAAATGTCGGTGGTGTTGGTCTATTTAGTGATGATTTTGTTAGGTCATCACTTAAGGAATCAAAAGTCTTCAATTGATAGCTGGCATATAGTTGATAAAAAAAGTGCTTGTTATTTTATTTATTTTTATAGGAAAAAAACTAATAGGTGATAGTTTATAAATGCTGTTATTTGTACTGATGGTATATAATCTCACTACTCTGCCTACTGCTCTGCTGTGTCAAATTCTCAAACTTCAATTTGAATTTCATAATTCATCGACAGCTCACCTGGAAGCATGCAAGGATAAAGTGCTATAAACTTGGTGTAAATAAACTCACACTGGACCTCCTTTTAAGGTTACGAGTGAGAGATTTATATGCCAATAGGGTTGGATAAAAAGTGAGCATTACAAGCTCATTGGGCCTCTTGTTTTATTCAAGATTTAAATCAAAACAATTTTCATTTTGCGATTAGTTAGTTAAGAAACTGGTGCATGTGTGTAAAACAGGAAATTGGGGTAACCAAAAGATGATTTCAAAAACCTTTAGTATCTTCCAGACTTTTGGTGCAAATACATGTGGTCGCTGTACTTAAAACAGGGTTAACTTTGCTTTATTTACTGATTTTTTTCCGTAAGATCATATCAATGGTGTTGGTAAACTTGTTGTTTTAGGTAACAACTGCAAGTACAGGTCTAAGCGTTTTACATACAAGTGATATACTAAAAATTGTGTACAATCAGCTGTACATTGACACCTGACCCTGAAGTCTTCTGATTGTTCCAGTGGTTACCTGGACAATAACTTTTCAGTTCAATAAAATTTTAGTGTTGTTGTTGAAGACACTGGAGCAGACAGTAGAAGTGTAGTGGATTCTCTACACAAATGTAGCCATGACGTCACAATATCTATGACGTCACAATTTATTGCTACTCTACAAAGACAGCTATGATGTCATGGTACACTGCTATACAAAGACAGCTATGACGTCATGGTACACTGCTATACAAAGACAGCTTTGATGTCATGGTACACTGCTATACAAAGACAGAGATATAACGTCATGGTACATTGCTATACAGACAGCTATGACGTCATGGTACACTGCTACTCAACTAGAGCTTTAGTTTGGCAGCAAATTTTACAGTTGATATTTTGAAGATTTAGATTTATATGAAGATTTTAAATTTATATTGTCTGTGATTTCAATGTTTTAGTATACTGTAGATTACTTACATTTCATGTGAACCAAATTTTGCAACTTTAACTTTTTAAACTTAATTGCGACCTATGTTACATAGGAATTAATGTTCAATCAATTCTTCTAGCAAATTTTGTTTTAATGCATATCATGAAATATAAGTTATCGACAGTATCTGGATGACTATTTGTGTCCTCTTTTAGGTTTGACAATCAATAGAGTACAGCTGTCAATAGACAGCCTGTGCAGGAGTGTCAAGTTGTTTGAGGACCCCAGTGAGGCTGTGACACGCCTCTTTATCTGTGTCTTATATCTTGCTAGGTGGTAACGTTGTGTGTCAAACATGTTTTAATTAGTACAAATTGTACAGCCTTTTAAAAAGGACATTAACTCTATGGTTACTACTCAAATAAGATTGTGTGGGTTTACTCCCACAGAGCAGACAATATTCTATGATTCAGATTATGTTGGGACATGTGAAGCACTGTTGTTACCTGTTTCAGAACTATTATAAAATATCTATCTTTATTATTTGTTGCAGAATTTATTTATATGTATAGTTTGCTATTATTGGGTGGTGAGAGAGGAAGGTTGGTGTCGTCATTAAGTGCTGTGATGCAGCTATGTACATATTTTCACACACTTCTTATCCATGTGTTTTTTTGCCTGTGTAGACATGTAAGATCTACAAATTACCTTGAGAGGCATTTTGACAAATACAATGGTCTAGTCATAAATAACCCTGTACTGTTCCAGACACTTCAAAAACTGTATGTAAAGAGACATGAATGCGAGTAAATGGATAAGTAGAGAGAGCGAGCAAGAATGGCATCATTATTTGATAAGGCGTATTTACATACTTCTCAAAAGTTCGCTGTCAAGTAATGACATTTTTTTAGGTACTCGTATGTGCAGATGTACCCGGTCTTCAATATCGTTGATTTTTGCATTACTGATAATTGTTCATGTATGTCAAATTTTATGCTTGATTTTTTATATGTCTTCATTTCTGATAATCCACCCATGTCTCCACATTACCGGAATGTCATCGCAACTCATCCCATTACCCATCTCTATCCTGATTGGTCAGTTAAGTCAGCTGAACAGAAGTGAACACAGCCACCTGTATTTGTGCCTGGGCCCCTACTACTCTGCTTGAGTTGGTAAGATTCCTCAGCAGAGGGGCATTTCAACATCATATGAGAAACATTGGAGGTAGTTTATTTGCACTATGTAGAGAATTAGTTCACACAAGGGTTTCATCAGTCCCTTCAATATGTAGATTTTTTTTGTGTAAATAGAGGGAGCAGGGGAATATATCCCCTCCAAGTTATCTGCTGAATGTCATTGATACATAGCTGTATGCTGATCGGAGTGGCCTATACAAACCTGTTTTATCTTCATTTCATCAGTATTTCTAAAGAACATAAATGTAGGTCTGTGACCGTTGACAAATATTCTCGATTCCAATTTGCCTTAACTGTTGATAACATACCTGTAGCCACATTTCACACAGATTTGTGTCAGCACACACTATGTATGTGGTTCACACTGGCAATATATCGGGATGGTGTCTCAAGTGTTACGGTTGTTCCAAGCCCTGCTAGCATTAGACAGCAAGTGATTTTACTGGTGCTAGAATGGGTTAGCACTTAAAGCTTGAAAGTGCTCAAGTTATTTGTGTTTGCTGCAGTTTTATCAAATCTTAGTAATGGCATTGCCAAACAGGAGACTGAAGATTCTCTTTTACTTGTGTGTCACTTCAGAATGTGCTTATGTTACACATTGTACTTTTGTTCCTATGTCAGTACTGCATCAGTTTTGTTATAGATATTTTTCAGAAGAAATTTTATTCCTTCATATTACAGTATTGTTAAGGATGGACAGGATGAATTGTATAAAATAGAATACTTTCTGTGTAATTTTATGTCGTCGTGTTATGGAATAGGATTTTGACCTGTTTACATGGTTACTATGGTATGGACATTTGTGTACATGGTAACCATGGTGTTGGCTTTCCTTGATGAGTGTATAAGGTATAGACATTTACAACAAGGAAACCATGGTATTAGCCCCTGCTTGTATGATTGTAACAGTATCATTGACCTTTATTGCAAGGTAACCATGGTTATGACCTTTGTTTACATGGTTACCATCATTTGCTATTTTTGAGGGACAGGGTTACCATGGTGTTACTGTTACATTGCAGGGTATTCACGGTGTGAGTTCCAAGGTTACCATGATGTTTACATGGTTACCTTAGTGTAGGACCATGGTGTTGCCACTATGGTGGTGTTCTCGTGGATATCATGATTAAAAGCACCACTATATTGACCTTGGTTTCTGTGTGTCCTTGTTCTGGTCCTAGGAACAGAGTTGTGTGGGATACAGGAATTTCCAAGTGGTAATAACTGTATAGGATTGTTGTGCATGTCCTGAACGAATATCCTCAAGAATATCCTCAAGAATATCCTATCTTCTGAGTAATTTTGGGGCAGTTTGAAACTAACCTTACAGTACATTTGGTTTAATGAGATAATGTCCAATGCTATTTCGTTAAAAAATATTATCCTCAAAATAAAAGGATTCCCATGAATTTGAGGAAACAGTGGCCTGATCATTCATTTTCCTGGAGGATACAGATACAGGCCGAAGTTCAGCTTTGCTGAGATGTATGGTAGACCTACAATGATGTAGTGCAATCATGCTCCAAACTTGGTTACAATATTGCTGCATAGCTTACTGTAAATATTATATAAGAGGGGAGGTAACTTTTAATGAATTAATTTTGGTTGGAACCATAGCCCAGTCTTGTCACTTTTTCATCATTGGTTAAGGTTGAATGCTACCTTACTACATATTTTTTTCACCAAAAGAGTTCCACACGAGCTTGTAAAATAACTGTTACAAAAAACAGTGTCCACAGTTTAACTATGTGGTGATGTGTCCGAAAGTTGTACGATTTTCTGTGCATTACCACTCTCGTGCTATTGGGATCTTTTTTACATGATGACTTATTTTCTAATGCTAAGTAAATAAAGTAAGGGAGACAACTCTAGCACACATCAGACATTATAGCATATATCCTTAAAGATCGACTCTGGCCATCCAAAGTATAGTAATATTTTTATTATTAAACAAGATCATGTATTCATTCTATTCTGGCTGTCAGTCTTGTCCTCCATACGTCGGACACATTTTGAAATGGATACCGGTGTTTTGTAAACATGAAGTGTTTTATATATATTTTGTTTAACAATTAAATCCACTTTATGGTGAAGAATTATTTGAAGCATTGTTTATCTGAAGTATTCCATGATTGGAAATGAGCAGATCACATTCTATACATATCTAAAAAAAAATCTGTAAATTATTTTTTTAAATTACAGCATTTTTTTCTTTCTTTAAATTGTAAATAGCCTAATTGGACATTGGTGCAAATACAACTCTCCCCAAGTTACATTCCATTATCAAGTATTAAACTGTATTCTACAAGTCTACATGAAGCACATTTCTAGGAAGTCTTGAGATACATGCCAAATGCTTATTGTTGTTGTTGGTGACGTTTTCGCAAATAGATCTAAATCTAATGTTGTTATTCTGTGTGTAACTGCGTGTCATGGTCCGTGGATTTCCAAGGTCACATGTTTGGTGGAATGTCAAAAAGATTTCCCGGAACACAAGAGATTCGTGTTGTATGGGATTCCTCAAATATGTGTTTTTGTGTGTTTGGATTTCCAGAATTACCTGAATTACTGTGACCAGTAGGCTGAATTCCTGGGTCACATGTATTGTGACCTGAATTCCTGGGTCACATGTAATGTGACCTGAATTCCTGGGTCACATGTATTGTGACCTGAATTCCTTGGTTACATGTATTGTTACCTGAATTCCTGGGTCACTTGTATTGTGACCTGAATTCCTTGGTCACATGTATTGTGACCTGAATTCCTGGGACAGGCATTATGACCTGAACTTAAAGTTCACACGTTTTGACCTGAATTCCTCAGTCACATTGATTGTTAGCTGAATTCATGGGTTATATGGGCATGGGTTGTGACTGAATTCATGAGTCACAAGTTTTTACCCAAACTCCTAAGTCACATTGATTGTGACCAGAATTCTTGAGTTACATGGGTTGTGACTTGAAATATGAGCTACATGGGTTGTAACTGGATTCATGGGTCATATGGGCTGTGACTGAATTCATGGTTACATAAGATGTAACCTGAAATCCTGGGATTTGTGGACTGAATATCTGGATCACCTGTGTCGTGACCAGGATCGTTGGGCCTGGTATTGTGACCAGAATCGTTGTGCCTGGTGTCGTGACCAGAATCGTTGGGCCTGGTATTGTGACCAGGATCGTTGGGCCTGGTGTCGTGACCAGGATCGTTGTGCCTGGTTTTGTGACCAGGATCGTTGGGCCTGGTGTTGTGACCAGGATCGTTGGGCCTGGTGTTGTGACCAGGATCGTTGGGCCTCGTGTCGTGAAACACAGGGGTGGCTGTGTTCTGTACCTGATGTGGCTTTAGTCGTACACGAGCTGTACACAATCATCCTGATGTACTATATTGCTTTTTACAGTCTTAGAGGGTTATAACATTGACTGTTGTATGTTTGTTACCATGACGTTTGTCATCACATGTTGTCCAGTATCATTACCCTTCATTCTACTGGAGTAAATATACTACATATAAACAATTCCGCTGTTTGTTTTCTTTGCCTTAGTATTGCCATTTTACTCTATAACAGAGCATTATCCTGCAAAGGAGATATACGACATTCCATATTGATACAACATGATTTTCAATGATCATTTTGATGAGTTAGGTTTATTTAATGTTGGATTAGTCCAGAACATTTTGGTGAAATATAATGTTCTGGGATAACGTGACATCATTTTCATTATTAATGTTATGGTGTTTTTTTTGTCCAAAGCTTTTTTTCAGCTTGGGTTTTCAAAAGAAAAAAGAAAAAAACATTTATGAAAAATTCTAAAATAATGTTTAAAAATTACAAAATGACTACCACAAACAGTATACATCACATGCCTATTGTCATAAAGGTTGTTCATTTCTGAGCAGTTATTAACCGATTTTTTACTTTTGACAATATTTAATGAAAACCTATGGGTGTTGACCTGTTTCCAAGTTCTACAAACCAGTTTGGTAAAGGTGAAATCCGAAATCTCAAATGAAGATGAAATCATCAGCCAGACTGACTCCAGGAAATCATATGTTACATGATCTTTTCCTTATAAGGTAAAGCACGGAATTAGATTAGACTTATCTAAGTCCGTGGGTAAAGGTTGTAGTCACTATAAAATGTTCATCATTTTCTACAAATATATTACGGATATATAGAATATCTTGCGGTGCATCAAAGTTGTTCTAAATTTGAGTAATTCTTTCAAAAATAAAAGAAGAGGAAATCCAGGGGATGAACTTTGGACCTGTCTACTCATCTTGCATTTTACCCATATTGAGGAATGGTACTACAGTATCAAAATGACAAAAAACACCTTACAAAAGGGGAGGTGCTCTCTATATATATAAAAATGTGAATAGTCTTAAGTCAGAAGAAAAAAAACCACCCCAAAAGCAACCTCTGGAACAGATACAAAGTATAATGTCATTTTTGGGACATTCCCCCGAAAACACCTCATTGCATCGCATGGACCTTTTTGCTGGGGCTGTCTCTCAAACTGCAGAACAGCTCTAATATCCAGCCAACGAAAATGCAAAATGGAGGTGCCAGGTATATACTGTAACAGCAGTCAGAGGATCAGTCGCTGTACAATTCAATAACCATAAACAACTCATTGAACTGTGTACAATGTGCTGTTGGTTAGCGAATATCTAGGTGAAGATTATTTGTATAGTATGTCGGTGGTTCTTACCTTGTTGAAAATGTTGTCATTTCGACATCGATAGCTTTCCTCCCCTCCTTTGTATGATCATTGGGGGTGTCATTTTTAGCTCACCTGGCACAAAGTGCCAAGTGAGCTTATGCCTTGGCGTGGCGTCCGTCGTCCGTCCATCCGGCGTCTGTCCGGCGTCAATATTTTACTTTAAACGACTTCTTCTTAATAACCGAAAGGCCTAGGGTGTCGATATGTGGCCAGAAGCAAACTGTGATGAAGGGCTACAAAGCTTGTTCAAATTAATGACCTTCACCCATTTTCAAGATCACAGGGGTCAAATATGTTAAAAACTTTAAACATCTTCTTCTTGATAACCAAACTTCCCAGGGAGATTATATTTGGCCAGTAGCATGCTTGGGTGAAGGGCTACCAAGTTTGTTCAAATGAATGACCTTCAATTATATTCAAGGTCACAGGGGTCAATTGTCTTAAAAAAACCTTTAAACAACTTCTTCTGAATAACCAAAATGCCCAGGGTGATGATATTTGGCCAGTAGCATGCTGAGATGAAGGGCTACAAAGTTTGTTCAAATGAATGACCTTCACCCATATTCAAGGTCACAGGGGTCAAATATGTTAAAAACTTTAAACAACTTCTTCTGAATAACCAAAATGCCCAGGGTGATTATATTTGGCCAGTAGCATGCTGAGATGAGGGGTACAAAGTTTGTTCAAATGAATGACCTTCACCCATATTCAATGTCACAGGGGTCAAATATGCTAAAAACTTTAAACAACTTCTGAATAACCAAAATGCCCAGGGTTATTATATTTGGCCAGTAGCATGCTTGGGTAAGGGGCTATCAAGTTTGTTCGAATGAATGACCTTCACTTATATTCAAGGTCACAGGGGTCAAATATGTGAAAAACATTAAATAACTTCTTCTGAATAGCCAAAATGCACAGGGTGATGATATTTGGCCAGTAGCATGCTGAGATGAAGGGCTACAAAGTTTGTTTAAATGTATGACCTTGAATCATATTCAAGGTCACAAGGAGTAAATATGTTCAAAATATTTAAACAACTTGTTCTGAATGTCCAAAAGGCTCAGAATGTTGATATTTAGTCAGATCAAGGACTTCTTTGTTTGTTAAAGTGAATGACTTTGACTTATATTCAAGGTCACAAGGGTCAAATTTGTTTAAAATCTTTAAACGACCTCTTCTGAATAACCATGGGTCCCAGGATGTTGATACTTTGCAAGTTGCATACTGAGATGAAAGGCTATACAATTTGTTCAACATAATGACTTTGTTCGACTTTCAAAGTAACAAGGGTGAAATGTTTTAAAATCTTTTAACAGGTTCTTTTGAATGACTTTAATCAAAAATACTGATATTTTGCCTGTAGCTTTATTTTAGATCACTTTTAAGGTTGCAAGTGTGAGATTTTAACCAGGTGAGCGATGCAGGCCCATTGGGCCTCTTGTTACCGAAAGTCATCTAAACCCCTAAAACGTGAACATCTTCGTTTAGGTCCAAATATAGCTGTAACAAATTATCAGGTCCCTGTGTGGCGGCATGTCCGCGTATACTTTTTGATACAAAAAAACAACTCAAAAAAGGTATTCTTTGATTGCATCATATTATATAACATGAAGATCAGTTTACCACGGAATTATCTAAGTCCGTGGTTATAGACAGTCACACTGACGTTGCATAAGTCGTTCACCTTACGTTATTTAGAGGTTCCCCAACGAGTGGTGATTTTGGTATATCCAACTCTCGCTTGTTACACTGAGCGAGAATAAAAACGAATATACTATCATGATTATTATTCTTCGTGATCCAAACACAAAAAACACATAAAACTTGGTGAGCCCAATATCGAGATATTGACGCGGAAAGTGTACGATTTTCATCTGTCCTACCACGGACCGAGATAATTAAAGAAAAATCGTTACTCGCGGTTAATGGGGCCATATTTTATTTTACAAATATACAAATGGATCGGACAACAAGTTATTACAAAGTCCTCTCCTAAATACATATGGTAAAATAGTGTATGGGGCCTTATTGGCTGTGACGTCACAAATACAACGGCTATGGAATAGGCGAGATCGAGCACAGCCATGAAGAGTCAGATTGCGAATTAGTATGAGTTTGGAGGAATCAAATTATGCCGAAGATGACATATATAGATGGTATCCAGCAATATTAAATTTGCCAAAATGTTCAGAAAATGAATTTAATTGAAGTCAAACTGACGACTCTGAAGAGCACAGGTAATAGACACAACATATCCTATGCCTATATTCTAATACGTAATTACTAATTACATATTAGAATATAGGCATAGGATATGTTGTGTCTATTACCTGTGCTGAAGAGGGTAACACAGACTGGTAACATTGCATGACCATTTTCTGAGCAAGAACTAATTTGAGGGAAATTAAACAACAAGATTCTCTATTTTATTGATCAAAAATGTTTTTCCCCTTTCTTTTAGCTGGCAAGTCAGTTTGCAATCATTTTCTTTACTCTACAGTGAGAACGTATTCCATCATGTCGTCGTCGAAAAGCACCATTTAGTGACCAGTTTCTGTGCCGGATTATTAATATAGCAAAGGTATACCGCTATACAGTCCAAAAATACGGAAATGTATCGGTGAAAAAAATGTAAGACAACGTTGGTATGTTTTTGAACGGCAATTAAATGTATGGCATATTTTAAATATTACAGCATAATCCGGCACAAATTGACGACATTGTGTTTTTCCTTGTGTTAGGTCAACAATTCAAATAAACAGCAAAATACCGACAAAAAGTTACACATTTAATTGTATACAATAATTATGTTTGCGATTCTAAATAATATTTATCTGAATTACGAGATTGAAAATTAAATAAAAATCTCCATATAATATACACAAGTTATCATTCAACATTTTGGTTCAATAATGAAAATCATCTCGATGCACTCCCTTGGCCTACTAAGGTGTGAAATTTGTGAAATTTGTTTGAAACCCAATTATCAGTTTTTGGTACACGTGTATGTAAATAGCATTATAAGCTGCGGTTCTGAAATATGGGGCTTTCATAAAGCCCCGGATATTGAAAAAAATCATACTTTGTTTTGAAAACGACTGCTTGGCGTAAGAAAAAATACTTGAACTATAATATTGGTTTATTTAGAACTTTTGGAGGTGTCCATTGTCATTGGTAAGAAAGTTAAGAATTATTAAATATTGGATTAAGTTAAAAAGGACTAGTAATTGTATTTTGCAAGCATGTTATAAAGATATGTTAGAGAATAAGGATAAATGGGTTTTAAACATAAAAAATGATTTATTTAGAATTGGCCTTGGTTACATATGGGAAACAGAAATAAATGATGATATGTGTTATAATGTTATTAGAGAAAGACTTATTGATATATATAGACAAGAATGCAAAGAAAACGTAAGAACATCTTCAAAGGGTTATATCTATACATATCTTTATAACCAGTTTGATTTTCAGTGTTACTTAAGAAAACCATTATCTAGAGAATATTTGAAAGAGATTACAAAAATTAGGTTATCTGCTCATAATCTAAATATAGAAAAAGGTAGATATCAAAATATTGAGCGTAGTCTTAGAGTGTGTACTGCATGTAATTTAAATTATGTTGAAGATGAGTTTCATTTTATGTTGAAATGTCCATGTTATTCGGATTTGCGTGTTACATTTTTGAAAAAGTACTATGTAAAAAACCCAAGCATGTTTAAAATGATAAATCTATTTAATGTAAATAACACAAAAGAACTTGTCAATTTGGCCAAATATATAAAAGCGACAAATGTAAGAAGAAACCAATTAACTTAATTTGTTACACTCTCCATACTGTTTGTACATTGCTGGTATTGTATTGTATTGTCTGTAGATATTGTAAATATAGCTCACTTTTGAAACCGATGGGTCAAAAGACGCAAGGTAATAAAGAACTTGAACTTGTGTAAAGGTGAATAACACTAAACACACCTGTGTCCAGTGCTGACAGCAGGAGGCCCAAGGCACCTATATGCATGTACCTGTGTCCAGGTATGACATCAAAGGATTGTCAGCAGGCCTAGGGATGTCAGCAGGTGGGCAAGGGGGTACCTGAAGTAAGTATGTAGTTTGGTGTAGATTGCGTGTCTTCCGATATTCCATTTAACAGCTATGTCCTCAGGCTAGATAACAGGGAAATGAATATAATGAAATTATAAAGATCTATCTCAAGGAAAGTATGCATAAATAAAATGTGTAAGCACTGTCGAAGCGTCCCGTTATAATATGCAAGCCACAACCAGTATTGAACTGCGTCACCTGACAGATGAAAGTCAGGAACAAAACAAATAATGCTGGACGTTATGCACATTATATATCTAATCGGGTGGTTCAATGATAAATATTTAACACTTCCTCTGCAAGATTCTTAAAATTGGTGTGTATATGTATTTATGTGTTACAAATGAAAGATGTGTACCTAAATTCTCTGGATTGCATAAAGAATAAAAATAGGAAAAGTATCCCCTCCCAATACCTGTATATTTAATGCAATTATACAAGACAACTTATTTCTCAAATTATAAATGACACGAAGTTATATACCCGTCCACTGAAAGGCCGCAAGGCCGAAGGCCAAATAGCGGACGTAAAACCATCAAAAGCAAATCATGTCTATCTTACTTGAGTTAGTTAATTTTAAAATTGTATAAAGACGCAAGGTTTTCCTATACCTCCGAATAAACAAGATGGACGTTACTTGAAACAACTGTTGACTCTCGCCCTTGAAGAAGACCAGAAGGCCGAAATATTGGGACTTAGAGTGACATTTGTTCTATATTTTTTAAAATATTTTTTCCCCTTTGGAAATCATCTGTTGCCGCAAAATGTAACATGTTTAAAAATGTAAATGACGTTAGTTAAAAGTATATCTTGAGCAATAATATGGCCAAATGTAACCAATATTACCAAAATGTGGCAAAATGAAGTCAGGAAAAAACTATTGCAAAATGGAAATTAACACAGACTCCAAACGGGAAAATGACGGTGCACGGCACGTCACAGTGTCTAACGAATAATGCCGGTTCCAGCATTGATCCTTGTAGTACACTCCTGATGGAAACTTAACTAAACTGACTTCATCACTTTCCCTATATGAGGACATCTTACTTAGAAGTCTTTTATATGGCGCACTATGAAAATGTTTTTTGTTTGTTTTGTTTTTGTGTGCGTGTTTTGTGCAGTCCTTGAATATTCCAATTCCAGACCGGTATTTGAACCCGGGACTTCCAAACTACCGACACCCTGCAGGCTACGGATTGAATCAAACATTCATTCTGCAGTGACGTTTAAGTGGTTTTCGTCTCGTCGAACACCAAGTATACACTTAAAAACCTAACTCTGTATAGTGATATATCAGGTGGCGGTAAAGGTGACATATTTTGCTGTGTATAATGACCAAAACTCTAACGTCACTGTACCCAAAACGGAACACTTTTTTTTAGAGAAATATCAATGTACTTTTTACTATACTAATAGTTGGTAGGCCTAACCAGGGACGTATATATACTGTCCCTGGCCTAACTGTAATGTACCAACGATACGGGACAAACGCATTTAAGTATTAGATAACTGACTTCCTTGATATATTTCAGTTAAAGTTGATAGCAGAAAAGCTAGACATTTTTGGTTGTTTGTTTTCTTAAAATATATGCACACAAAATATACTAGGCCTCTATAGAGTCAACATGGTGTAAACTCAGTAAACAACAATTCCTTCTATTTTGCTATTGTTTTCCAAGGTTATATCCTATTCCACACAAGAATGAGACAGCGAGGTGTTTTGGCCTTTTTGGATCACAGACGTCTCTGCAATGTTCGTATTATTAATTATGCTAAAAACTGAAAGTAGATCGAAATGTCAGACTTCAACTGTTCAATGTGTTAAGTTTGAAATAAACCATGTAAACACCAATACTAAGATTAGCAGGAACACGTTCCCGCTTAAATTAGTCTGACGTACAGAGAGAACCACTGTCACGCCATGCTTGCTGATGAGGCAGCCGACCGATCGATCTTATTGTTATGCAAATTATTCTCCCGGGACAGCCTCTTTTCCAACGGGATAGCAGACAGCGCAAAACATGGCCGACGAAAGGTTGAGTGGTACATTTCTCCCGTCATCTACCCGGAGAAACAACTGTTAACTCTATCGTTACATACTTGAATACAGATATCATCACATGTGAGGCTTCATCATTTTATCTGTTTCATCCACTGCTAAGGTAAGTGCAAAGATATTCATGTTTAGTCGCAAACATAGAGGATCAATTTTGTTAGGGAAATGTTTACATGTCGACCACCGGTAGGTGCCTATATTACCTTCGAGTCAGTAGAGACTCTAATTTCAACTGTTCACGGTTGACTGAACCAACTGAATTGCTGTATGATAATCCTATAGCTGTCATTTCAATGGGACTAAATATAGGTCTGTTTGTGTCATGCTAACTATACAGTAGAGAATGTGACTATTTTCTAATCTTTCGGACTAAGAATACCTAGAGGCCGTTAGACAAACGAGCAAAAATAACAAATGTTCCATCCCGTTTACATTGCCATTGGCTCATTCAGCAAGTCTCTTTACATCGGTTTATCTAAATGGATTTGGTACTGGGGTAGATTAAACTAACTGTCTGACAATAGAAAGATTAAAGAACGTTGCATAGAATGGACACTCGTCAGATTATAGGATATTTTAGGCCATGCAATTCACCTTTCTCACATCATTTTGATGTACCAGTTTACAGTTATATTAAGTTGATCAGTATAACCACGGACTTAGATAACTAATCTAATTCCGTGGTAGATAACTAATCTAATTCCGTGGTTTAACCTGCCCACAGTACGGAATATGAAATTTGGAATCCCAAGAACTGTTAATTTTTTTCTGACTCAGCCCCCGACGTATCACACCCCAAAACCCATATCAGCCCGCAAAACCCATATCACACCCCATTTGGAAAAAAAATCGTTTTTCAATATTTCAAAAATGAAAATAAATCATAAGATAGTAGTTTTTATTAGTAAGTATGTAATAAACAGAATAAAACACGCCTTTTTCCATATCACACCCAGTATCAACCTTCGACCAATATCAGCCCGCGGGCCTTCGGCCCTTGGGCTGATATTGCAGTCTCGGGTTGATACTGGGTGTGATATGGAAAAAGGCATGTATTATTCTCTATGTACACTATAGATAAGACCATGTTACATTATATTCTGACAGTAGGATTTACCATGCAAAGGTGTTTACAGAGACTTGGTAAGATTATACCGACAGTAGACTTACCAGAAGTATGTACACATTGTATTATATGGACTGGTTGGCCTGAGAATAACCAATACCTGTAAAATATCTTGAACTTGGCAGTGGGCTAATCACTGGTAATTAATCCCATTTACAAAATTTAGAAAAAAAATTATCAGATTAATACCATATGCATCCACCCTGTCTCGTCACTTTTATAAGATCTTACTCTAAACTACTTCTCATCAGTAATACTTCTGAACTCTGTCCCAATGACACCCCAGAGCTCGAGCTCCCATTAAAGTTATTTTGTAAACCCCTTTTTATCAGAAATCTTTTACCATCTTCTTCTCCCATTGTCCATTAAAAAGTACCTGATAAGACCCCTAACCAGAGAGTCACCTTTATCACTTTTAAACTGAAATATTATCAACTTTCCAACACAAATCATCGATAATTTACTAAAAATTTGCTAGCTAAACAGTTTTTTTTTTCAACAGGGTTGTTTTGTTCCTTTAAGCTTGTGTTTGTTCCTTTAAGCTTCTGTTTAAAATTTCACAAAATTGTCAAAATGTGGCAGCCTTATTCTAGACCTTCTAGTTAAATAAGTAACATTTTACTTCCATAAACAGAGAATTATTCAAATTTTAGGTGTGAAATTTTTGTTGTACATAATAAATTTTGAAACACACAATGCTGTCATTGTCCTTCTCAGCTTCTCATGTGGTTCATGTCTAACTTTGTTTCATGGTACAGGGAATTTACGAACATTTAACGCTCTGTTTGTCACTGAAGAGATGGGTCTTCAAAGATGTTTTATCATTTTAATATTATATCTACAGTGTATGTTGTGTTTGCTGTGTATATATCTATTCAGGAATCCCTTACTGCATACTTCCCACCTCTCACAATGGAAAAGTGTGGGCAATAAATCACTTGCTACCCCAGTCCACTGCACACATAATCCCCTTTCAAGGCCAATCATGATTACATGACCATGAAAGGGGGTGTGCCCAGTGGACTGTGGCCACAAATGCTGTAAGAAAGGGGAGATAATCAATCAGTGAGTAACGATGAAGTCAATACAGTAGAGGATAAAATTAGTTGACCCATTTCAAATAAGGGAAAAAAATGAAAGTTAAAAATGGTAATTTCATGATAAAATGGTAATTTCATGATTGAAAAACACAAACAGATTTCCTTATCACGTGAGAGAATAAGCATTTCCCGGAAAAGTTTATACTCTTAAGGAGCTGTTCATTTATACAAAATTGCAGAACTGGAATTCCTTAGGGATTGATAACCCCTTACATTGTATATATGAAAATGGCCTGTACCTTTGCCACATCTTGAAAATTGAACTGAAAATGTAGTCAGAAATTCAACATTGTTTCCCGTATTTTGAACAGACACTCCTTACCTTCCCTGACACTGGACCTGGATAGTAATCCAAAAACACTTGTATCCATTATGAAGGATACACTCAGACTGGGCTATTGAGAATCTTACCTGGTTATGATTAGTACTCACTCACATAGGTACATGTAAATTATCTGCAGTGTAGGGTAGGTAAAAAGATTGTCCAGGTGAACATTTTTTACTCAACTTTTCTGTTTTGTTCGAGTTGGGAAGCATGCAGTAAGCCAGTTATTGCATGATTTCTCGTCACTCGGGACTTATTACACCCTCGCTTTGCTCGGGTGTAATAAATCCCTTGTTACTCAAAAACCATGCAATAACCTTTACTTACCAGTTAATCTCTGTTCCCTTTTGGGCCTTTATATTTTTAGCAGTGAGTTATACTCCTAACACTGTCCCCTTACCAGTTATATACATATGAGATTTATGAAACAAGTCTAAGAATTTTTAAATTTAGCAAGCCTCTGTCGAGCTAAAATGAAAAATTCATGACGAGTTTCATAAATTTCATATAAAATTAAAACCAGTGTAAGATCCTTTTTATCACATAATCAAGATTTTTGGCATTTATTCATGAAATTGTATTTTCATGCAAACTCGAAATGTAAAAAGCCACCATTTTGACTCCAGTGGGTAAGTCTGAGATGTCATGTACTTGTTCTAGGCGTGACATCACAATCGAAACTTACAGCCAATCAAAGGGCTGATTGTATCGGTCATATTACATGGGTTAATATGCCAAAAAACATGACATGGGTATATTCACTTGATAACACCGTATGTTATGTGATAAATATATATATATATAGTGCTTAAACTGCCCATATATAGTGCTTAAACTGCCCCCTGTATATACAACTACCCGGTAGTTAGGAATATGAAACGACCATCTTGCATAGTACAAAATATATTGAATCAAGTGCAAAAAGTTGCAGTAATGCATATATATAATCAGATGATATTCTGGCAGTGTTAGTCAAATTCAACAGATACTGAATGTTTTATACTTGGTTTTGAAAACAGACATCTCATACTGTATTATTACTTTATTACTTTATATCAGAGTTGAATATTAGTGATTTGGAAACTTAAAACCCCCATGGTAAATGAAAATATTTCAATTTTCACAGTGAAAGAGATTTGTTGTATATTAAATTAGGATTTGAAGACACAATGCTTTCATTCTGATTCTCAGCTATTGTTATTGGTAGGGTTAAAATCAGTTTTAAATTTTATGTGCTTCACTGAAAAAAAATGTCTTTGTTCAAAGATGTTCATTCTTAATAGGAATTTTCAAGAAGACATTTAAGTCTTTCTCAGTTGTCAGTTTAAATAGTGTATAATAATCCTTTTATGAGGGTGCTAGTGCTCTGGAGTGTGATATTGAAGGCAGAACACACTTATCAAGATCAACAGTATGGGGCACACTTAAATAATTTAGTGTACGGTTCATCACAGGAGATCAGGGGAGGTAATAGGGGAGCAGTCAAATTGAGATACAGTAGGGTTTGTCCCCGAGAGAAGGAGATGAAATAGGGAGCAGTCAAAATGAGAAATGGTAGGGTTTGTCCCAAGAAAAGAAGGGAGGTAATAGAGGAGTAGTCAAAATGAGATATGGTAGGGTTTACGTTTGACCCAGGAGAGAAGGGGAGGTAAAAGGGTAGCAGTCATAATGAGATACAGTAGGATTTGTCCCTGGAGATCAGAGGAGATAATAGGGGAGCAATCAAATGAGATAATGATGAGGTTTGTCCTAGGAAAGAAAGGGAGGTAATAAGGGGTTTTGTCCCAGGATATCAGAGGAGGTAATAAGGGAGCAGTAAAAATGAGATACAGTAGGGTTTGTCCCATGTGATCAGGGGAGGAAATAGGGGAGCAGTCAAATTGAGATACAGTAAGGTTTGCCCACGAGAGAAGGGGAGATAATAGGGGAGCAGTCAAAATGAGATATGGTAGGGTTTGTCCCAAGTAGATCAGGGGAGGTAATAGGGAAGCACAGTCGAAATGAGATATGGTAGGGTTTGTCCCAGGAGAGAAGGGGAGGTTATATGGAAGCAATCAATATGAGATACAGTAAGGTTTGTCCCAGGAGAGAAGGGGAGGTAATAAGGGAGCAGTCACAATGACATAATGATGAGGTTTGTCCGAGGAGAAAAGGGGAGGTAATAAAGGATTTGTCCCAGGATATTAGGGGAGGTATTATGGAAGTTAGATTAGTCACATGGAGATTTGCTGGGTTTGTCCCAGGAGATCAGGGGATAAAATGCTAGGGCTGTAACGATACACCGCGGTGCACCGAAAACCGCGCTAAATTGCTTCTGTTCGGTGTACGTTATGTTTTTTCTGTGTTTCGGTTCGGTTTTTAGTATTACCTGACTTCCTGAATTTAACCATACATGTGTAACGTAAACATTTATTCTCCAGCGTCACCTACGATGATAATAAAGGTTTTGAAGGGTTTGATATCGATGATTTAATCATAAACTAGACCGTAGCTAATATATATCTATATGCCAACTGACAGTAAATGAATGACGACTTGAAACCTGTAGCAAATCA